CCAGCCAGCATGGATGGCTAGGGAATCCTGGGAGTTGAAGTCCACTCATCTTAAAAGTTGCCAAAGTTGAGAAACATTGGTTTAGAGAGTTTGCATCCAGATATAGCTCCGGGGGGATTGTGGCTTCAGAGAAGCCATCAGAGGAGGACAGGTAATTTTCAGGATATATTCAGCATTGGGGAGAGAACTCCATGTTTAGAGAACTGCAAGGTATAAGCTGAGAAAGAGAGCCCTGCTTCAGTTTCCGTTTGTTGCTACAATGGTCAGGGTGATAAAAGAGTGTGGTTTCCTCTTCAGCATGTGAGAGCTGATGGGAGCCTCATGCTAGGAAAGGCAGACTTCTGACTTTGTGGGTCAGCCTCGGTCTGAAAACATGTCCATTCTGATGGCGTCCTCTGCTCAGCTTACCCCTTCCCCAGTCCATCCCAGCATGGAGCCTGAGAGTGAGACCCCAATGACTGGAAACCCCCAAGAAGACAGCAGAAACGTAGGTGGTGGTGCTTAACTGCAATCAGCCTTTTTTTCCCCCTCCTCCTTTCTCTTTCACATTCTGCTTTAATTTGAAAATATGATGTTTAGCAGGGCCTTAGATACCATAAAAGTTATTAAGCTGCTTTCTTCGACTGACCTCTGAAATAGTATACAAAAGTCTGCTGAGGTGGCTGTACTCATGTCATGACTTGCCAAAAACTGTTCAGTAAGGCTCAGAACAGAATGAAGACCTGCTGCAATACCATAGCTTTGCTGGTTCCTATCCAGAGAAGGACTTTTTTTTTTAGCAAAAAGAAACAACATGCAAACTTGAAGGTTGAAAATACGATCAATCCAGATAAACATGGAAAAGAACAACAGAGCTGGAAATAACTTTGAAGGTTTTCTAGCCAACCCCCTGCTAGAGCAGGAGACTCTATTATACCATTTCAGACAAATGGTTGTCCAGTCTCTTCTTAAAAACTTCCACAACTTTTAGAAGCAAGTTATTTCACTGATTAATTGTTCTATCTTCTTAGTTCTTTCCTTGATTAGTTCCCAACTGTTGCATCTTGTTCTGCCTTCAGGTGCTTTGGAGAGGAGGTTTTACAGATTCACACTCCATTGTATTTTGTATTTATATTATTAACCACTATTAAACATTTTCTGACTGTGGAATTTCTCTGAGAAGTTAACTTCCTCTCCCAATGACTGATAAATAGTGACTAACTTGCCCAGGGCCTTGTTAGTTACTCTCATCTTAGTTTGCATATTGCTCTAAATCATAATTTAACTATGATGTATCAAATAAACCACAAAGGGATTAGAGAGCATGGCTCATAAGCAGTAAGCCATAATTTGCAAGCCACATAGTCGGTTCATACAAAATAACTATAATCAAACCACATTCTATCTTTGTATGATATCTGAACTCTGTGTTCATCAAACAATTTTATGGCCAGTCTATCTGATCATCATTCTCTTAAACTACCGATTTCTGAGGTGGAAAAGATAGAAATTGGAAGACTAGTTTTAATTCAAATTTGGGCTTTTAACTATTATTCAGAAAGCAAAACATAATCTGGCAGGGCACCAAGAATCCATAATCTTCTTCTCAGCCTCTTCCATTGTCTTAATAGTAGCAAATGTGTTGCTGCACTTTTTATCTTTTGCATAATAACGGCAAAGCCTACTCCATCTAAACAAAAACTTTCCTTCCCATTTTCAAGCTATTTTCCCCCCAATCTCCTGATAGCAATAGCCTTGGTTGCTCATATTTTCTTGCAACATACTCAGTTGTATAAGTTTGTCTAAAATAAATCTTAGACAAGATTTATTGTAGGGGTGATAAGGCACTTCTATTTCTAAACAAAGTCACACTTCAGTAGATTCCATGGAATGCCTCAAGAACCTTATAATATTGACTGTTAAAATAAAGACATGTGTTTGAAAACATTAAAAGGTTTTGGATAAGGTTAGGAGCATACAGAGTCGATGAAACCATTTTTTTCCAGTTCTGTCTCTTAAACTGGAAGTAGAAGTCAAGAGACAGCTTCATCCCTTGATTGCAATTGTAGAGAATTAGTCTCCCACCCCAGCTGTTTTTTTTTTTTTTTAAACCTGACTAATGTGAAAATGCAGTGTGAAATCCTGGAAAATGTAGTTCAGCTGCATCTGAAAGGACATGGATTCCACTTTCTACTTTCGCATGGAGTTTAAAAGGAACAAACTAGGATAATTTTTGATAGATGGAGTGCACAGGTTAGATGTAAGAAGACATTGCACTACCCTGTTGCCTTTCAATGGCACTATTAATCTTGGCTTGATTTGTGGAGGAGGAAAGTGGTCTGATTTGACTTGTGGGTGCAAATGTGAATAGGTGCAAATTGCTCATCAAACAGATGACAGCATTTAACTGATATCAACTGACTCTGGGGTGGGAGGAAATCAAATCAGAGTCTGAGATGGTAAGTAGTTGAATGGGAGACGTCTAAGTGATTCCAGGGCTGCTGTCTAAACTGGGAGATTAATGCATCCCAAAAGAAGGCCGCGGCAAGCCACTTGTTACCAAGACAACTATGTGGATGTATCTGTGTAGTGACCAAGAGCTAAGCTTGGAAGTACTCTCTATCTTTCTGAATTCTCATTCAGTTAAACCTCATTCCCACCTTGTTTTGTAAATCTGGTGGTGTCAGTGTATTATAGATAGTCCTCACTTAATGGTGATAATTGGAAAGAAGGTAATTAGGATCAGAATTTTCATTGGTAAGGGATATGGGAGTAAAGTGCAATGTCACATAACCACCTCACTTAGCAATGGCAATCTCAGTAGTCCTCAGTTGCCATTATAAAGCAAATCACCACAGGTCATTAAGTGAGGCTCACATGTGATCACAACCTCTGACTTCCTGTCCACTTCTCTATTAACTTTGGTTGTGGGAAGATCAGAAATCATGATCATGTGATATGGGGATGCTATGACAATAGTAATTTTGAGGACCGTCATAACTATCATATGGACAATGCTGTGATAATTTCAAATGGTCACTGAATGAGTGGTTATTAAGCAAGGACTATCTACAATAATTTCAAAATAAATTCTAATGCTAACTGTTGCAAGAATAGTGGAAAGTTTCTGTTTGGGGAGGACAACTTTAGTAAAAACAGTGCTTGGGTTATTCTGCTATAAAAGAACACAAAATCCATTATTTGCAGGACCCATTTTTGGAGGGGCCCATGTGTAGCTAATAGCTCTTTTAATAGAGGTTTGAACTTTGAACTGTTATGGGAGGCACATACCACACATTTTTTCCTATTAATTTTAAGAACACCACAGGATTTCTCTTTATTAGTCTTCATGATGACTAAATACCGGTTATTAAAGCTACTTGTTGTAGCTGATCATTTTTCTATTTAAACATGTCCTGTCCCGAGTGTTTGTGTGTTTATTTTTTGCCCAGCAAGTTTACTCTGTAAGTTGTAGAATGCAATGTGATGGGTTATATTTGTAAATTCCCCATCTTGTAGCAAACTCTTATGGAAACTCTTCCCATTGCCAAATTGCCCTTCCCAATTAGCAATCATGCTGTCTAGAATATATCTGGGCAACATTTCCAGTGTATGCAGACTAAGGCTTAAAGCTTCTGCAATATTCATTTCTAGAACTTTTTATCTGCTGATTATAAAAAGTAAAGTATTATTTTGTCCTGTATATTATTATGTCTCAAAACCTTGTAGATCTGACAGCAGTCTAGATCTGCCTTGGAATCACAAACTCTGATTTTAACTGTCTACAAAATATGTTTTTTCAGTTAAGAATGAATTGCAAAACAGATACCAAGGAAGAATAAATAATAAATGGAATTAGTTTAAAATAGTTAATTATCTTTTCCATTACACAAGTAAGAATTCGTGGGTTGAAAGGAAGACCATGAAAGTTGTTGATCATCAAAACCCAAGAAATTTAAAGAAAATACAATGTAGGGTGATACTGTAGGGAGAGATAATAAAAGCAGTTAGTTTAAAATATAGTAAGCTTTTCTATTATGCAATTAAATTTCTTTTCTTACTAATTCTGAATCCTCTTATGAATATTATATAAATCATATTCAGAAATTTATTTATTTATTTATTCAGAAATGGAATGTGATGGTTATGTATGTATTTTATTTACTTTATGTATTCAAAGCATTTCTATGTTACTTTTCATTATGAACAGTCCTGAGCTATACATTCGGTATCATAGGGTGTGAAATTCCAGAAGATTCAATTATTGAATCATATTGTTTACATTAAATTAGTGTAAAGAAAATAACTGTTTATCTGTCAGCAGTGGCTAAAATAGCTGTGGTGTGTTCACAGCTGTTGAATTAGCTTTATATAAATGAATTACCACAGCTATATATAATACATATAGTATATATAGAGGTGTTCCTGAAGAGAAAGTTGTGTAAAATATGTTCCTCTAAGTACCTGTAGTACTGAAGCAGTACCTGGCATAATGCATTTGCTTCAATAATTTAATATAAAGTTTTAAAAAGTGAAGGTTTGCTATATTCAGTATATCACTGTTAAAACAAGTAAACACAAAATTAAATAAACATTCAAGAAAACTTGAGGGATTGATTTAAAATAATTTTAATATCATCCATCATTAAATCAGGTTCCTGGATGATATAAAACAAACTGTTCTGCCTCTATATGATAGATATGATAACATATAAAAAAAACAGCAAATAAAACCACAAAAACCATAGAGAAGTGCTAACCATATTTTAAAATGTGTGGTAAATAAACAATGCCTTAACCCAGTGCCTGAAAGCCAGCAATTGATTCCAGCGTATAATTTGAATGTAAAAGACTTTTCCTTTACACCCACGTGGTATCCTGCTGATAAGGGAGCATGAACAGGTTGGAAATGGGAAGTGGTATTTCTTCATTTCCACCAAAAAACTATTGCAAGTCTAGGCATTTTAAAAAATAAAATTACAGCAGATCAAGTGAAATTATTTTTTTCTTTCTTTCTGTAGATGGATCTCTCCCATAAATTAACTAAGAGAGAGGTAAGAATCTCATTCATTAATGAGCATAAGGTGTATTCTGATAGATCAGGGAAAAGATCTACGAGTAGTCCTTGGCCTACAAACCAATTGAGCTCGAAATTTCCATTGCTAAGCAAGGCAATTGTTAACTGTGAACTTTGCTTTTTAAGTGACTCTGGCTTCCCACACAGACTTTGCTTGTTGGAAGTCAGCCAGGAAGGTTCCACATGGTGATCACACGACCCCGGGACATCGCAACTGTCATAAATACAACATGCCTGTTGCTGCTGAATGCCCGAAATTTGATTATTTGATTATTTTTTTAAATTTATATTGCTGCCTATTTACCCATGTGACCCTGGGGATGCTGCAATGGTTCTAAGTGTGAAAAGCAATCAGAAGTCCTTTTTTTTTTCAATGCCATTATAATTTTGAAACGTCACTAAATCATGCTGACCCTTTTCAGTTCACACTCTTGCCAGTTTCACTGGGTGAGCACCTGGTGAAAACATTTGATCAAAATTATTTGCTCGTTTAAAAAAAGAAAGGCTGTACTATATTGGAATTTCCAGAGTTTATATGTTCTGCACAATCACCTAGTTCCACTGTTGAAATGCAATGTAAAGTAAACCAGCATTATCTTAAAATTAGTCACAGATTGGTTCAATAAGCAGGCTCCCAGGAACAAATTGACAGGCTTATAAGAAAATGCATAGCTAGCAAGTATTATAGGCTATCTGACCTCTCAGGCACTACCTTCCCATTCCTTTCTGCCTAATGACCAGGGGTGGGATTCTACCAGTTCGCACCTATTCGCTAGAACCAGTTGTTAACATTCTAAGCAGTTCAGAGAATCAGTTGTTAGAAGAAATTACGGGCCTAATCCTGTAAGGAAGGCAGAAAGGAAACATTCTGGTGTTGCTTACAGAAATTGCTTCTCCATTAACCTTTATTACATTCTTGGCAGGACTAGACTTCCTGTCTCTGGAACTTCTCTGGAGTTTTTTTTTCCTCCTTTGCTGGTACTTTGCTTGTGTGGAGTGACCATTCAAAGTTACAATGGCACTGAAAAAAGTGACTTATGCCCATTTTTCATACTTACGACTGTTGTAGCATCCCCACAGTCACGAGAGGCCAGGCGAGGAGATGCGTGCCTTGATGTGAATGATGTTGAGCTGGCCACACCCAGCCAGTCACATGACCACCAAGCCACACCCACCAACTAAGCCATGCCCACAGAACCGGTTGTTAAAAAATTTGAATCCCATCCCTGCTAATGACCTCTTACTGTATTTCTCCTCTCTGCTTGCTGCTGGGGGTTTAGAAAGCATATGAGGTTGGCTTGCTTCCTCCCTTTGAGAGGGGTAAACAGAAAATTTATCTCCTCCCCTCTGTCTTTGGTAGGCACAATCAGCACAGAAGGCAACAACACACATCACAATTGCATACCTTAAAGAGACCATCCTATTCAAGCATCAAAAGCTTGAATACGATGGTCTCTTTAATACATTCCTACTTTTCAGCACAACTAATTAGAGGTGATGATGATGATGATGAACACCATCTTTCCAACAAATGAAAGAAGGCAGGGTATCTTATTAGTAATTCAATTAATGATCTAGTAACCAAATAGGTACCAAAAGTTGTCTTGTAGCACCTTGATTTCAGAAAGATTTTCTAACGTGGAAAAGTTAGTAAAAGAAGTAATGGTCAAAAAGCGGCAAATAAAATAGTTAACTATAGAAGAGAGAACCTCTTCCAGTCTACCTACCCATCCTTACACACTTCACCACACTTCATTTCCTAACCTAAGTGTTTTGGACTCCAATCAGCAATTTTCATCCCTCTTGCCATGGACTATTATTACAATTTAGAAGACAAATTGAGGAGAAGTCTAGCTTTCCTTGGGCGGCTCTTATATTTTTATTCATCAGGCGTACTTTGAATTTCTGCTGGACGTTTGACACATCCTTGTTTTAGTTCATCTAGCCTGCTGTTGCACTTGCACACGCTCCTGCTTTTAGATGGGCTCTTTATTTTATTTTTCTTGTTTACTTATCTCTTTCCTTTCTTTCTTTTTTCTAAATTTGTATTGCTTTTAAACTGTAAAAAATATTTGCAAACTGTAAAATAGTTTGCAAACCCTGCTAATCCAAATTATGCTGATTTGATTCCAATCTGTTTTTAATTTTTGTTTTATTATTGTTGTAGCTCACCCTGCTGTATGAAGAGGTCCTTTACACCATTCTCCATCGTGTGGGCCAAGTGGAACAGAATCATGTTACTGATTCAGATGAGCTCTATGAATATGTGCAAAAGGTTAGGACAAAGAGCCAAATTCATGGACCATTCATCCCCAAGGCTTTGGGCTGCTCTTAAGACTATATTTTTTTCTTTCTTCTTCAGTGTGTTTTCTCTCTCTCTCTCCCAAATGCTAATGGGACAAATAGTTGTTCTCTGCAGCATAGTAACTATGTTGGTAGGCAGGATGCACCCTGACTCTCTTTTTCTCCTACATTGTCTTCCTCCCCGCCCCAATCCCCCCCCCCCTCCCCTCCCCCCCCCCCAAATCACACTGTCTTTGACCTTCTTGCCAAAGGTTTGAATGGATTGGAAATCAAGGGCTTTTGAAATTATGAGGAAGCTGTGATTTCAGGATACAGAATCTTAATTCCTTGTTAAAAGAAGCTCATGTTCTATTGTCCTTTATTTTTACTTTAAGGGGCTTTCCTATTTTATTGAAACCAAATTCTCAGTCTGAATATTTCTTTTCTAATATCCAAATCAGGCCTTCAGTATTGATCCAGGAGACCATCAGATTATATTCCAGAGGGTCAAAGAGCTAGAGGTAAGATCTGACTCCAATTTTCCATTCACTTGTAGGTTGTTATTATGGAATTGTTCTATTTATTTAGTTGCAAAAAGGTTTCCAAAGCATTCTTTGTTGTTTATATTCCAAATTAGTCTAAAGATATGTGTTATTATTGTCCATCATTAGTTTTTCCTATTTTATGATTATATCAACCTGAACATCCCAGATGCTATTCTGTTCACCTGCTAGCAACGTCCTTATGTTAAGATCTTCTCCTTTTGTTTTTCAGAGGCCAATATTTTGTCTTAAAGCCACTGTGAAGCAAGCCAGGAATATTCTGGGTAAAGATGTCAGTGGTAAGTACAAACAACATACCACAGTTCAAATGTAGAAAGAGAGATCCTGGGAGAGGGAGAGGGGGAAAGGGGGAAATAGGGAGGGAGGGAGAGAAAGAGAGAGCGAGATTGACTGATTGACTTTCTAATTCTATGCAGAACTAAAGCTATAGTAAAATCTTTGGAAATGGCAATTATGCAAATTATGCCATTAAAACAACACTAATGAATATGAAATTTCATATCTGGAGGAAGGAAACTTTTCTATCTGTTACATCACCTACAAATTGTTCGCCACAAGGCAGCCAAATGTTTTAGTGGAAGAGCATAAGAGAAAGGTTTATGGTCGGAAAGGTTGCTTATAGTCCTCATGTTAACCCTAAACAACACTTTGATTGGATTGATAATACCCTTTAAGCCTTGGCTTGTTTTAATCATGATCTCTGAACATATGATGGCCTTGCTCATACTTTGCTGAGCAAATCATGATAGCTTAGTTCACACAGTACAATTAAGCCAATCTTTTGGTGCCTGAAATATTTTGAGTGTAATTTATCAGGAGAAAGGGGAAGCAGATGATGATCCCTCAAATAAAAGAAGCCGCCTTCATGGTGTGGATTAATTGACGGTGGAAAATGAATGAAGCAAAATAATGCCACATTATTTTTTTCTTGGATTTTTCAGGGATAGTGGAAAATAATGATCATGCCCAATATCAAGATTAATAGTGGAATGGGGAAAGAAAAGTTTAGAGGACCTCCTGCCATAATTCTGCTACTCGTTATGAAACCTTATCATAGTCCATGACCCCTGCACATTTTAAAGCTCCTTCTTTGCTTTCAGGATTAAGTGATCCATACTGCCTCCTAGGGATAGAAGGACAAAAACAGGGCTCTTCTTCAGCACGTGGTTTTCCTCGTCAGGAGAACAAAAGGCGATCTAAGGGTGTGGTGAAGAACTTGCTGCCAGAGGACCAGACCCATCGCACACAAGTCATCCATCAGACATTAAACCCAGTGTGGGATGAAACCTTCATTCTGTACGTCTTGTCTCTTTAGCATATTTAATTTGCATTGGCCTCAACAGAAAATTGTACTTATTAGAAAATCAAATATAAAGATAATTTTAGGGCTAGAAAATGATGGGTTTTTTTCAGCCACCAAGCTCATATTCTAGAAAATTGTAATACTATACCCAGGAAAAGCTCTTCGTTGGCTATTGGGGGTCAAAAATAGCTGAGAGAGATGAACAGTTTGAAGCTGAAGAACCAGGAAAAGTTTACTGTAAGGCAAATAACATCTGATAGCTTTCTTTATGGTCAAGGCTGAGAGAAGAGAGGCCTTGATGGGTTACAGTAGAGATATTGGAAAAGTATAATCACACTGTTAGTCCTCTTCCTGTACAATAGCCATTGATTTTAAACTTGTAATATAGGATGGCCTTCGGATCAGTGTTTTACAATCTTGGCAACTTTAACTTCCCCATGCTGGCTGGGAAATGCTGAGAGTTGAAATCCCTGTATCTTAAAGTTGCCATGGTTAAAATTATTGTTCCAGATGAATTGGATTATAGCTCCACTTTCTGGGAGTCACAATTTGAGGTATTTAGAGAATGTAGGTTGGGGAAGTTTTGTAAGTTTGTTTTTTAAGTCCAGCTGCTCCGTTGTCTAATCTTTTATTTCTATCATTAGCTACGGAAGGGGATGTTGGACTGAATACATGCTTCTCATTCATTCTTTGTACATATATAATTGGGTTCATACTTGCTGACAGACATCTCTATATGCCCGTTCATCAACTAGTTCCACCCAAACCTACTTTTCTTATCATTTAGCAGAAAAGGATCCTGATATACATCTGTATGCAGATGTAGTCCTTTTACATTGGCTCAGTGAATGGATAATTGTTCCTGCTAGCATGTGAGAAGGAATGGGTCTAGCTCCATCTTACTTCTCTGTTCAGGCAAGGGGATTGGGTCCACCTTCTCAATCCAATGTTCCCTTGCATTAGTCATTGTTTTTTAACTGTTTCTTCCAGGGAGTTTGAAGATGTAGAAAATGCCGAATTCCAGCTAGATATGTGGTAAGCAGAACTGGCTCTTCATTCCTACTGAATTTCATTGTATCTCATTAAAATTTGAGAACAAGTCTTCCAAAGGAAGTCAAAAAGCAGCTAGAATCATTAGGCAAACACCGTCCAACGTAATGAAGGGGTAGCAGGAGATCACTTAGGAGTGACCAAATTGGGGCACATGCAACCTGACTTACTTTCCAGTGTAGGGTATATGTGCCCCCACAACCTAATGAGCACAGCTGGTGAAGGGGTTGGAAAAGATTCTAGCAGGCAGGCTCTGCATTCTTTCCTCAGCTCGTTTAACGATTTGTACAAGATATATATATAAACATAGTTGTCAGATCACAGCGACGGGTTTGATATTTCATCCTGTGGCAGACTCAAAGCAAACGCCGTAGCTCCCTACAACTGTCCATCATCTCCAAAACAAAATATGAATAAATCCTTTTCTAAGTGGAACCTCGCACTGTATTTCTTCCATGCTACAACTAAAACAAGGAAAAAGTAGTAGGGAACTACTTTTGTGTCTAAATGAACATTTAATATTCCTGGAGGCTAATGGCCACAGAGTGAGTGAGGCCATCCCCAGAGATAAGTGGAGCAACAGTTGTGAAGGAGGGGGCTCTTTTTATTTTTCTGTAATGTCAACTATAGTTTGTTTCCCATCTGAAAATATCAAAGAACTGTGCTGTCAGTTTTCAAAAAATACTCAGAAGAAGATCTAAGGACTTCAAAGAGGGGTGGAATCTTACCTAAGTAAACATGATAAGGACAGGTTATTTTGAGCCCAGCTATCGCTCTTCTCCACTATTAGAAAAAACACCAGCTTGGGAACAGATCATTTTGGAGATGGTATATCTAGGTGACTTCTGAAAGTCATCCCCCACTTGACGGCACATCCATCCATCCATCCATCCATCCATCCATTGCTCTTCTTGCTTTGATTCCTTTTCTTTCTGTTTCCTGGAAGTCTTGAAAAGGAACATCAAGCCATATTTTTATTTGCTTTCTTCTAGGGATTTTGATGCTGTTGAACCTGTACGGCACAAACTGGAAGAACTGAGTGACCTTCGTGGCCTGAAGAGGTTTGGGCTGATTATGAGCCTTTTTGTATATGAACTTCTATTAATTACATAATTCAGCTGATAAGGCTAAATGAAATATTTAAATAAGGCATCACATTCTGTTTCTCTTTGGTACATGAGAAATGTTCTATCATCTTTGCCCTTGTTTTCCTTTTTCCTACTCAGAATTATTAAGGACGCTCGGAAAAATAAAGGGCAGGATGATTTCCTGGGGAATGTGGTCATTCCTCTGCAGGTAAGGAAGGGAATATTGCATATTGCCAGAATAATTCTGGGACACACACACACACAATCTTGGGCAGATTAGTCTCTCTTTATGTGTGGTTTATCTTCTCCACTTAGAAAGCAACATAAATCCCATTAAATAAAAAAGTTAACGGAAATTTCATGTGAACCTTTTATGTGACTATGAAAGAACTTGGTAGAAGAATATGTCACCTTGCTCTAATTAAATCCGAGACTCCTTTTTCAAACACTAGAACTAATCAAAATGCTATAAGAGAACTATAGATTTTTCTGGAATAATCAGAAAAATAATGAAGAGGCCTATTTTGCAGGCCTCAGCATGAATTTCTATTGTGGTCTCTGAGTGGTAGGCCAGGGTTTATGAGAACTTGACTGGCTGTAAAGATCTGTAGCTATGCCAGCTACAAACTAATTCAAGAACATATTGATCTTTCTAGCCAGTTGCCATAAAGATATCTTGGATTCCAGGTCCCACAGTTCCCAGCTAGCCACCAGAATTCTGGAGTTGGTTCAATATCTCTGGAATGCAATAAAATGGAGTGGGTGGAAACGGGGGTGGGTTTCTACCAGTTCGCACCTATTCGCTACAACCAGTTGTTAACATTCTAAGCAGTTTGGAGAACCAGTTGTTAGAAGAAATTACGGGCCTAATCCTGTAAGGAAGGCAGGAAGGAAACATTCTGGTGTTGCTTACAGAAACTGCCTCTCGGTTAACCCTTATTACATTCTTGGCAGGACTAGACTTCCTGTCTCTGGAACTTCTCTGGAGTATTTTTTCCTCCTTTGCTGGTACTTTGCTTGTGTGGAGTGACCATTCAAAGTTACAATGGCACTGAAAAAAGTGACTTATGACCATTTTTCACACTTACGACTGTTGCAGCATCCCCACAATCATGAGAGGCCAGGCGAGGAGATGTGTGCCTCGATGTGAGTGATATTGAGTTGGCCACGCCCAGCCAATAACATGACCACCAAGCCATGCCCACCAACTAAGCCACGCCCACAGAACCGGTTGTTAAAAAATTTGAATCCCACCCCTGGGTGGAAACCACAAGCATATACTTGCCACCAAGGAAGATTTCTGCAGAACCTTCTCAGGGTCTGCTCTCATGAATCAACCATTAGCATAATTGAGAGAGAAAAAGAAATGTTCCCGTGAAGCCATTCATTATTGCACAAATTTAATTACAGTACAATGAGGTAAGATAGGTGGATCCATTTGAGCACTTTCTCAATTAATTGAGACACTGTGTTTCTATGATAAAAGTAGAGCCATTTCCTGGAAACGTAGTAGGAATGAAAAAATGCCACTTTCAAGAAGTAATGTGCTTACTCATTACTTCTGAGCTAACATTTTTCACTTCACTTGTGTAGGACCTGCATTGTCGGGAGGATCGCTGGTATAGGCTGGAACCTCGCACTGATACTTACCCCAACCGAGGGCATTGCCACTTGCAGTTTTTTTTGGTACATAAGAAGGTAGGGATAAGAGGAATCCATTTCCAATTGGGTAAAGGAAGTGTATTTTATAAATTCTGATTTGAACAGTTTTGATTCATTTAACATTTTAAGACCCATTCAATATAGTTGCTGCAATCTTTGAGAAAAGGCTGTCCTATCACTGATACCTTTTTCTCTTGTGGTGATCTGGGTGGGAAGAAGGTCTTTCTTTCTTCTTCACAAAGGTAGAAGGCAGTCAGATGTTCTAAATTGGTGTTGTGATGTTACATTTTATGAGTTGAAGAGCATATTAAAACTGTACGGATGAAAGGTTGACTGATGGATTTGTATCCTGCTTTAGCTTATGTTTTGTAAAAAGATAAACATAACAAATCTTATACTAACACATCAAGAATCTATTGTTAGCGTGCTTAAATGTTCAAAGATATGCCATTTTTATAATTGTGAACATGGATGCATATGTAAGGATGAAACCAGTTGGTAGAAATTCTAATATCTTTTGAAAACTGGATCAGTATGTGTGTGTGTATATATATATATGTGTTTATTTAGTGTGTGTGTGTGTGTGTGTATGTGTGTATATATATATATATATATATATATATATATATATTTGTTTTCTTACAAATATATATATATAAATATATATATATATATATTGTTTGTTTGTTTTTTTGTTTGTTTTAGAGAGCTACTTCAGCCAGCAAGATGCAGGCAAGTTACAAAGTTCATCGGCAACTTCTTCAGCAGATCGTTTCATATGAGATTCTTCAATACGAGGTAAATAGATAAACAAACTGCTAAGTGGATTATGACAGAGTGACATATATTCAATTGTTCTCTGGAAAACAAATGGATTCCATATTGCAGTCAGTTCACCTGACCTGTTTGCTCTTTTCAGCTCTTCTTTGAAGTCAAGATACAAATTTGGTTTGAAGCACAAGCTCTGCCCCCAGTTGAAATCTCAGAAGATTAATGGCAAAATTTCAGGGCTGAAAACTGATTCATACATCTAAAAGAAACTTTAGTCTGAGGCGACAGATTCCTACAGTCTTGGAATGGCATGATAGATCTTTCCTATTTGAATCCAAATTGCTTTCTTGAGAGTGATTAAATTGCTTTTATACAGGGGGCATGTATTAGTTGCTCTACTATTTTTGAAACCATAGATTCAGAGTTGGAAGGTATCTTATAAGCTATCTAGCCCAACATGTTGCTTAATGCAAGTTCCACTAGGACATTTCTAACAGATGACCACCCACCCTTTGTAAAAAGGCCTTCAGAGAATGAGAATTCTCCATTTCATGTGGCAGTCTGCTCCGCTGACTGAGCACTCATCCCAACAGGCATTTGTAGCTTGAATCTACTTCCCTTGTAGTTTTAACCAGTTGGTTCTAGTCTTGTTTTCTGGGGAAGCAGGAAAATAAAGCCACTTCTACTGTGTCAACATTTAAGTTATTTGAAAATATTTTTCATGTCTCATTTAAGGGATTTCTTCTGTGTGCTAATTACACCCAGATCCTTGTTCTGGACCTGCCCCCTTGGGAAAAAAATAAGTTTACTACCTTTTTTTGGGACAACAGATTATTCCTGTCATATATCCCTGTTCGTTATCTTTTCTGTAGGCTAAATATATTCCGATCCTTTTCCTGTTCCTCATAGGGCTTGGTTCCAGACCCTTCATTGTTTGAGTCACTGTCCTCTGAATTTACTCCTGTTTGTCATTATCATTTTTGGTTCAGAGTACTGGACATACTATTCCAAGTGGAATCAGTGTAGAGTGAATTACATCCTGTAAGCTCATGTCTAATCTCCTGTTAACGCACGTCTATTCTCCTGTTAACGCATAGTAGTTGCCTCAAACTGCTGCCTTTTTTTAACTGTAATACTGCCAATCCAGTTCTTTCCTATCCTATGCCTGTGCCTTTCATTTTTCCTGTAGAGATGCCAGATTTTACACTTCTACCTCTTAAGTTGCATCCCATTCATTTCTGCCTATTATACTAGCCTATCCATATCCTACGAAACTGAATCTTCTCCCATTCCACTGAAATATCAGTCACTCCTCTCAGCTGTCTAGCACATGTAAACTTGATCAGCATCCCTCAATTTCATCCACTTGATAATTTCCTCCAAGCTGAAGTGGAGCCATTAACTCTTTAGTCAATTAAAATGCTAGGTAAATGGGAATTGCATTGAACTAAGTTTCAGAAGAAAGAAAGACCTGAACATAATACAGGTAATTGTTATTTGCAAAACTGTGAAGTAATGGATATGCTGTATTTCCCCTCATCTGATATCACAGAGAGTTGTTCATTGTTCTCTTTCACTGCAGGCTGGCAGCACTTCCTGGGATGGAGAGTTAAGCAAACATGCTGGTACTGTCCTGTATCTACACGCTACTCAGAAAGACATTTCGGATTTCCACCAAGACTTGGCGTAAATATCTTCTGCACGTTTCCATTCAAAGCAACATTCTGGAAAACAAAAATTCCTGGCACTTTCTGTCTCTCTCGTTAAAAAAAAGTTGTGAAGGTTCTTTTCTATTGTCTGAGAGTGTTTTAATTATATTAAAATGTGCAGGCATGCCATGAGACCAGGGTTCAGTACTCTCCCTAGAATTCCATTCATGAATTCAATAATTTTGACTTTTCTTTTTCAACTGGGGTTTCTTTGATTCATTACTACATCCCTGCCTATTGAACATGATTCTGCAGTAGACTTTGCCAAGAACTGCATGCTACAATTTCTGCTGTTTTTAACTTCTCTTTCTGCAGTATGCATATAAACCAATAAATGTTTCCCAGCAAACTGGCAAAACCAGCCAATCCGACTATATCCTAATCTACCAGTATATAGTTTGGTTAGGTCACTTAATGTGAGGTTCTTTTTGTTTCTAATTGTACTTTTTGCAGGTTTTTCTTCTGGCATTTAATGCTGCTTTCCTTCCCTTGTTAACATAGGCACTGGCTGGCTTACAGCAAGCTGTATCAGTTCTTGGAGTTCAATAGCAGCTGCCTACTCCATCAGATTACCAGCATAGAGTATCAGTGGATTCAAGGCCGATTACGATCTGAGCAGGTAAGAAAGGAAGAGCTGTGGAACTATAGGGCTGATGGAACATTCTGGTCCAGCTAAAAACATCTTTGGTTCCAACATCAGACATTTATCCATTAGGTTATATAGTTTTACAACACCTATCCAATAAAGTGGATTGAAATACATCTCTCTTAGCATAATGTTAGTAGATCATGATCTTGAAATGATCCAGATATTGCCAAGCAGGACTAAGTCTTCTTACATCTATTGCACGTTGATTACTTCCTGCAGACAGCTGAATTGGCAGAATCTTTCCAGTCCTTACTGAACTATGGGATTTCTCTTCTTCAAAGGTTCCGGATTATCTTCCCACTCACCTCACCCAAATCTACACAGAGGCTGCAGTCACTGCTCAGGTGAGCTATCAGAAATCTTCTGGGATGCACATAGTCAGAAGGAAAACTACCAACATTTTTCAAACATGGATATTCTCTCAGTAGCATTACTGTTTAATTAAGTGGACATAAATCATGAATCATTCAATATACTGATCCTATATTTCCTTCACATAACACCTAAGAATCTGTAAGCCTAATGCATTTATTATGATACGATAGAAGCTTTCATGAATTGAAAGCTTGTAATTTATGCCATGATTCACCCAAATAGCACCAAGAGACAGAAATGTATGCATCCCTTGGCACCTGTCAAGACCCCTACAGAGGCTATTTTTTTTCTTTTTCTTTTATTATATGAATGGAAACAGTGAACAGAAAGCAAACATAAAACAAAAACAGCATCAGTCTTATTTGTCTGGATTTTGGTATTCTATGCAAGATCAGTTTTAAACCTCCAGTCATATTAGCAGTCTTCCAATGAATGGTATTTCTGTTTTGTCTGTATGAAGGTCAGGTTTGGTGATCCCTGTCTTCCAAGAACCACCCTAAAATATGTGTTTGCCAGTTCTGCCAGTTCTGTGAGACTAGAAGATAAAAAGAGAAAGAGCCTGATCTCTCCTTGAGCATAAAAAGCATCAGGAAAAGAGAGATGCCTGAAGCACATAAGAAGTAGAGCAAAAATCTCTCCACAGCACTTCCTGAAAGTGTTTCCTACAGAAAAAAATGAGACCTATTATAATGAAATAAACTAGAGCAGGGATCTCCAACCTTAGCAACTTTATGACTTGTGGACTTCAACTCCCAGAATTCCTCAGCCAGCAAAGCCCACAAGTCTTAAAGTTGCCAAGTTGGAGACCCCTGAACTAGAGGGCAGAGGGAATGGCCTTGAAGGATAGGAGGAAAAACTGCAACTAGGCAAGCAATGTCAGATAAGAGAATCTTGAGCCCAGATAAAGAAAATAACTTGAGAAAATCTCTCAGATAAACCCATCCAAGTTTACACGAATATAAAGTAAGGGAGGGAGGAACTACAGCCAAACTTTGAAGATTCTGTTACAGTAGTTATTACAATAAAAGTAGTCCTGGCCTACATGTCATTAGTTTCTTAGTTTGGTCTCTGTTATCACTGGAAATCAGGCTGCTGTTTGATCTCTTTATAATATATCCTAAAGAAAGGGATTGAACAACAATGTTGGGGTCAATAGGAACATAGAAAGCTACTTTATAGAGGGACACTGATATTTCTTAGTATTGTTCTATGCCAGGGGTGTCAAAGTCACAGTCCGCGGGTCGGATGCATCATGTGCTAGCCCTGCCCCCGCCTGGTTTAGCGAAGGTGGAAAAAGTCTTGATTCGTCATGTGATGCCACCATGACACCGTGAGTTTGACACCCCTGTTCTATGCTGTTCATCAACAAATGTTGGGGTCTTTAGATATTTTTCTTCTTCTCAGCTCTCCCTACCATACTGTTAGGGAATGAAGTCAGGAACTTTGCATTTGAGACTGATTAAAAGAAAAGTGATGGCATGTCTTGCATGTGGGACATAGAAAAGAGAAATAAAACTTTTCTCTGAATTGCATTGGATTTCACCCATGATTTTTCATCTTCACAGGGTTTTGGTCCAAATGTGTAAAATGAAAGCCTTCAAAGAACTTTGTACTCCGACTCCTGATCTTGAAGAAATGGTAGTACAGGCCCTTAAGGTACAAAGCCATCTTGTTACCTTTGTGCTATCTTTTCTCAGGCCTACAGTTTTGCTCTTAGTGCTTTTGAGATCTTGAAGGGACGGGTAAAAAGAATCTGTTTTAATTTTGTTTCTTTGTCAAAATCCACAACCTGAATTTACTCATGGTTCTCTTTATGGAGAAATGCAGTGTTCTATTTTTCTTCATCTACAGATTATGTTTCACAAAATGCTCTGAAGATCTAACTGTGCTCTCAGATCCTCTATTCTTGGACCTCTGCCAAATTATATTGTCCATATATATATACACAGATATGATCAATGTCTGCTTTAATGTGTGTGTAGGTTTTAATATGCAGAGAAGCATAGGGAGGGCTATTGTGTAACTTATTCTCTTGCCTATTTTCTCAGACTGGAACAGCAGAGTGGTTTTACATAAAGAAGCAACACTTGAAGCCAATGGTAAAGGTATGTTACATTCTAGTAAATTTTATGTTAGAATCTTCTAGGGGTTGTTGAATTGTGTTTCCTATTGATTCTAAAAGGGCATATCATTAGCATTTGCAAAACATCTGCTAACCCAGCCAGGAAAAAATGCTCCTGTATTATATCTTGTATCTGTGCAATCATATTAATCTGTACAACAATTTTGGATAAAGACCACAAAAACATTTTCCTCCCAAACACACAGATATGGCTGCTGTAGCTTGACTTTAGATAAGGAATTAAGTTTGTCAAAATCAGGACATAACTGTACTTGTGTCCCTCTCATAAATGCACTTGAGCACATGTTATCATAAACATGCAACTGCATAGATCTTTTCTAGAACTATGAAGCATACTTAGTAGTCCTGAACTCTAGATTCTCACGAAAAGCGGAGAAAAACTGTAGCCGTTTTAACAGTTGGTTGAAAAGCAACTCTGCAGAGTAAATGATGGAAGCTTTATTTTACACCACTGTGTTACAAAAGAATAAAACGCTAATTAGAATATCAGTCCCTTGTATGTGGAATAATATATAAGTCCTAATGCCAATAACAGAGAAAAGGCTTGGCTGAAGTCCCACAATAGCATTTCTTGCTCACTTAATTAGAAGAGGACCCAGGTAATTAGGCTCTAATCACCACCCTCCCTTTGCCATTTAAGTCTCCTGATAGCTTTTAGTATTCTTGCTCTTCCTACTTTTCTCAGAACATGAAGCTTGAAGTTACGTCAAAATGATGTCAGCTGAAATTGAGAACTCCATTTTTGGACCAGGCCATTCTGTAACACGGAAAATCAATTTGTACTCCTCAAGACTGCACGGAGTCAATTAAGCCAGCTTCTCTACCACTAAGAACAATGGCAATGAGCAATGGCAACATAGGAACAAGTGGCAGAAGAGTGAAACAGCCTCTTGCCCTGGAGAAATAGTGTGGAAATCTAGGAGAAGTTCATTAGTTTGAAAGTGTCTTGGTTTTGGGGAGAAACCAAGCTCATGCTAGATCTCTACCCCTGTTTCTCTTTTTCCTATCCACAGACAATGGAGGAATGTGGCAAAGCTCTGGTCTGTCTTCTTCAGGAGGTGAATGCAGATCTCCAAGAGTGTCACAAAACCTGGAACAAATATTTCATCAGGCAAGTCTCTGAAGGAAATTTTTCCTTCTTTCTCAGCTTTGGCCAATTGGTCGCAAACTGTTTCTTCAAATGTTTATGTAGCTTCTAAGGCCACAGAGTCTTGCTACCAAAGTGAGGGGTGGAGCCCAGATCACAGAAGTGATAAGATCACAAGCTTAGCAAGTACGACATTCCATAGCGTTTTCTTCCCAGAGGATTTGGGTGTTGTGCATTTCAGTTAAATGAATGCACATTTTAATACCTGTGCCTGTTGGCTTGAAGAAAGAAAGGAATAATAAAACTGGTTAGGTCAGAGCTCTGTGCAGTATTGACTGTACTAGAAATATTCTTGTGGTTGTTTAGAGACTTTTGTCACTCTATTTCCCTGCTCAGCAACTATTTTTTATGGGTGGATTATTTTAATGCTGGCATTGAGAAAATAAACCTCTAGGTCTCTTTTTATCTTCCCAAATAGGCTTGTCAACAAGTCAAAGGTTCAACCTCCTAGTTGACTTCCTTGTGGCCAATTAGGAGAATTCAGCTAACACTACTGAGAATGCTGGTTCTGGATTGCCTCTGGGCTGTTTAGTTTAGTTTAGTTTACTTTATTGTCATTGCACCTCGTACAATAAAATCAAACACCATCCTCAGTGCAATCATGACCATGAAAATAAACACAAACACACATCCTTCACACGCCACACTTTGAACCGAAAAACCCCGACACCACACCAACGCTGCACGATACAGTAGAATTCAAAAGAGCTACTGCCCTGGGATAGAAGCTGCTTTTCAGCCTATTTGTCCTTGTTTTTATTATTCTGTACTGTCTGCCAGATGGTCATAGTTCAAAAAAAGGGGTTCCCAGGATGAGATGGATCTTTGAGAATTTTTTGAACTTTCTTAAGACAGCGGGAGCTATAAAGCTTTTCCTAAGAGGGGAGAGAGCAACCAATGATCTTCTGGGCAATGACATTAACCTTCTGGACTGCTTTCCTATCTGCCACTGTGCAATTGGCAAACCGTACAGAGGTGCAGTAAGTTAAGATACTCTCTATGGTGTAGCGGTAGAAAGTCACCAGCAGTTTTTCATTCAGTTGTTGTTTTCTGAGAAGTCTCAGGTAGTATAATCTCTGCTGGACCCTTTTGACCAGTGCTGCAATGTGAGCACCCCAAGTCAGGTCCTCTTTTATGGTAACACCCAGAAACTTAAAACTTCCTTGGTCTTATTGGTCTTGAGGACCAAGTTATTGTCTCCACACCACGAAAGCAACCGGTCCACCTCATCTTGGTAGGCAGACTCATCCCCCCCCCCTGTATTTATAACTCATTGCAGATACTGATCTGTTGTATGTGGATGCATCATTTAAATTAGTGGTGTTAGCTTTAATACATAATGATAAACCTAGTAGCAAATTTCTGATTGTGTCTTTCTCTTTCTTCCTCCAATACAGCACCATGAGACTAGATCTCTTCTCAATTGCATATCTTAAAATGCAGGAACTGGTGAGTAGCTGTTTCACCTCTTTGTGTCAAAGAGGACCTCAGGCTTATATACTACAGCAAGGCAGAAGAGCATATAGGGGAAATATAGACTTGGCATCTAGAACTCTCCAGCCAATATAATCATTCCTGAGAATTCTGCAAGCTGCACTAGTGAAAGAATAAGCCAATTACTTCAGAATTTCTAAGGCAGCTTTCTCCAATAGTGATGCCGTCCAGATGTGCAGCTTACAGAATTCTCAGGAATGATTATATTGGCTGGAGAGTTCTAGATGTCAATTCTATATACCTGGAGTACCCCCAGAGTGAGGAAAAAGAACAGGAATTCATCTTTGAAGTAGCCACTCTAATCAGTGGTGAGGATTCATCAGTTTCACTTTGATGATGAATCTAGTTCCTGAGCCAGTTTTTGTAGATTTCTATCCGGGACCAACTAATGGGATCTTTCTGATTCAGTTTCAGTGTATCAACCCAAAATGTGTAATGTCCAGTCCAAAAACCTGATCCATTGTATCTTTTTTATGCTCCTGTAGGTTTCTTGTTATGTCAAAGAGCAGCTGAGCAAGATTGACAGTGGCATGTCCCAATTAACAGCAGAGAGCCTTTTCCAACTTTATCTCAGCATGAAGGACTTTTATAACATGAAGGATTTTGTGTGCAGCAGGTGCTTATCTCTGCAGAGGACAACACTTTGCCTTCAGTCTTTAGGCTGTTTTATACATTATGGTTGTTGTTTTGAGATTATAATGTATTGTTATCATTGAAAACTCAGTGCCACAACTGTGGCTTGATTTGCATGCTTCACTGACAAAATGGGTTTGTTTGGATTTGAGTTAGTGCAGGGCTGTCAAACCTGCGGCCTATGGACTGGTTTAGCAAAGGGGAAAAAAGTCAGAATACATCACGTGAGGCCACCTTGATGCCGCGAGTTTGACACCCCTGAGTTAGCATGATTTTCAAGCCCTGTTTAAGCATAGTGTGCTGTATAGCCTAAGTATGATTCATTCGGTAGAATATTATTAAACAAGCAAATAGCAATAGCACTTAGACTTATATACTGCTTCACAGTTCTTCACAGCCCTCTCTAAGCAGTTTACAGAGTCAGCATATTGCCCCCCAACAATCTGGCTCCTCATTTTACCCACCTCAGATGGATGGAAGGCTGAGTCCATCCTGAGCCTGGTGAGATTTGATCTGCCAAATTGCAGGCAGCCGGCAGTCAGCAGAAGTAGCCTGCAGTAACTGCATTCTAACCACAGCTCTTGTTTAGCATGTTGTGTGAACTCTTCTGTTGATGAATTGTTGACAGTTTATAACCAATGAGGATTTGTTGAGACAAATTTGTGATTGGTTACCACAACAAAAAATATCCTCTAGAGAAAAACTAAGTTGAATGTTTGGGAAATAAGAAATAACAGTTTTTCATTAGTTACAAACCACTTGTGTTACCTATTTCCAGGGATACACCACTTGCATTGACTGGTTTCCATCTATGGTTTAAAGAAGCCATCCCCTTGTGGCTACAGAAGACCTACACAATAGCTCTAGAAAGGACCCAAAGAGCCATCCAAGTGGACCAGGTAATCCCCACCCAGAAAGGAAAGCATTACTCAATTGTTTTTCCTTCCCTGTTTTTCCTGGATAAAGTTTTTCTGCCTTCATACATTTAATCATTGATGTATATTATGTAGCACCTTCATAGCAGCCCCTGATACTATCATCACTTAATTCTGTCTGTGGATTAACAAACAAAAGTTGTGAATTACATTATGTGTATAATTTTTGCAGATAAGCAGGTATATGACATGAATGATTTGCTAACATATCTTAATCCAGTCTGACACCTGTGGTTGGCAATTATGGAAATATCTGAATCTGAGTAATTCTCCAGCAATGAATTCAGCAATTTGAGCTTACATCAGATCCATGTAAGATCCATTGAGTTTATATCAGGTCCTTTCAACTAGTTGCTGTGTTCACATAGGTAGCTCAAGCTAATAATGTTATAATGCTTTCATGATGCCTGTGTTGTTCAGAAAAAGACACAATGCTACTTTGGTTAAGCAAACTGATGTTCATTCTTATGAGATATTTTAAAATAATATTGTTCAACTCAGATAATTGTCAACTACTGTTTCTATCCTTTTGCCTTGAGATTTTTCAAATGACAACAGAAAAGATGGCATGTTGTTTAATACAGTATATATTAGTAGAAGGTAAAAAAGTGCAAAGAGAAATCTTAAGATGCTGGGAACAAGACAAAATGCACAACTTTAACAATGGCAATGCAGGATATAAGAAAGAGAAAGAGACAAGGAGCCAGAAATGACATTTTCTAGAATGTCTAGAAAATTTATTTTCTTGACCTTTTTCTTCCCATTGAAATTCCACTGAGAAGAAAACAAATGATGCTGGCTTTGGGCTAGGACACTTTGGGATCTACAACTGATAACAGATAAGATAATCAGAGTTGGAAGAGACCTTGTAGGTCATCTAGTCCAATCCCCCGCCCAAGCGGGAGACCCTATACCATTTCTGAAAGATGGCAGTCCAATCTCTTCTTGAAAGTCTCAAGTGATGGCGCTCCCACAACTTCCGAGGGCAAGCTGTTCCATTGGTTGATTGTTCTCTTTTTTGTCAGAAAGTTTCTCCTTGTTTCCAGGTTAAATCTCTCCTTGTTCAGTTTCCATCCATTATTCCTTGTCTGGCCTACAGGCGCTTTAGAAAATAGCTTGACCCCTTCCTCCCTGTGGCAGCCCCTCAAATATTGGAAGACCGCTATCATGTCTCCCCTGGTCCTTCTCTTTACTAGACTAGCCATGCCCAGTTCCTGCAACCGTTTGTTGTATGTTTTAGCCTCCAGTCCCCTAATCATCCTGGTTGCTCTTCTCTGTACTTTTCCTAGAGTCTCAACATCTTTTTTATAATGTGGTGAGCAAAACTGGATGCAGTACTCTAGGTGTGGTTTTACTAAGGCTTTATAGAGTGGTATTAGTACTTCCCTTGATCTTGACTGTATCCCTCTGTTAATACAATTTAGGATTGCATTAGCTTTTTTGGCTGCTGCTGCACACTGCTGGCTCATATTTAGCTGGTTGTCCACTGAGACTCCAAGATCCCTCTCACAACTACTGCTATTGAGCCTGGCTTCACCCAGTCTGTATGTGTACTTTTGGTTTTTCTTGCCTAAGTGTAGGTCTTTACTTTTCTCTATATTGAATTTCATTTTGTTAGACACGGCCCAGTGTTCTAGTCTGTCAAGATCCATCTGGATCTTGAGCCTATCTTCTTGGGTGTTAGCTATTCCTGCCAGCTTAGTATCATCTGCAAATTTGGTAAGTTTCCCTTCTATTCCCTCATCTAAGTCGTTAATGAAGATATTGAAGAGTACTGGGCCTAAAACGGAACCTTGTGGCACCCCACTGCTTACTTTCCTCCATGTAGACTTAGACCCATTAAGGACTACTCGTTGAGTATGGTTTGCCAGCCAGTTGCGAATCCATCTAGTGGTGGTGCTATCTATTCCACTTTTTTCAACACACTTCCACACACACTTCCAACACACCTCCACCACACTTCCACAACACCATTTTGGAAGTTCTTATTACTAATGAAAATGCATACATGAACATACTTGAGGTCTTTGCAGCAGAGATGTTACCCTTTCAGGCATCTCTGCACAGAGTTGCTATGCATTATTTCTAAAAACAAAACAAAACAGCCCAAAAGTCTGATTGCTCCATGTACTGAGCAAATTGTAGGATGTCTTGGGTCAAGTAATTGGAAGAAGGCAAATTCAGGTGTTAAAATCCCATTGTCTGTCTAGGATATTCAGTGTCCAAAAAACTCCAACCGAAGTCAAATGCTCATTCTGTAACTTTCCAGATTAAATTCTGACTCTAATAATCTGAATCCTTGGTTTCATTTCTATTAAGTTGACACCACTGGGAGAATTGAATAAACACAGTACATCCATTGTTGACCTATCCACTTGCTATGCTCAGATGGTGAAGACATGGCAACAGCTGGATTGGCCTGATCCTGAGGAGGCCTTTATGATCATGGTGAAATTTGTCGAGGTATGTGTAAGAATAAGGAAGCTCAGATCATTCTAATCTGTACCAGAAGTCACTTCTGTCCCACTTTTTGTTAAATCTACAATGGTTTAAAGAAAATTCAGTGTAAAAATCAGCTTCCGTAATAGTTGCCCTCATTATTTCTGGATGGGATGGAACCAGTGGTGGGATTCAAAATTTTTTACTACCGGTTCTATGGGTGTGGCTTGGTGGGCATGGCAGGGGAAGGATACTGTAAAACCTCCAGTCAGAGGTGGTATTTGCTGGTTCTCTGAACTACTCAAAAGTTCCACTACCGGTTCTCCAGAACTGGTCAGAACCTGCTGAATACCACCTCTGGATGGAACTGGTTGCAATTGGAGCAACTTCTGGACTCTCAATGTGTCTGAAGAACAGATTAAATCCGTGATTAGGAGAATCTTTGCAGAAATCCAAGTTGTGTGCCAATTGCACCTCTTCCTGGATTGGGAAGCCTTATTCATGGTCACTTACATTGGTCACTTACACTTACAATTTACAAGTGACCAGTGATCACTTACACAATTAAATTCAAGGTCACTTGGTCATCTCTTCTCCAAATTACTGCAATATGCTATATGTAGGTGTTGGAAGAAATATCCATCTGGTTCAGTTCCAAGCGGGGAGAAAGACACTGGAAACATGGAGGCTGATTGGAAAGATGGTTTACTAAGGAACAGGACCACATGAGTTTGAGGTCCTGGGCAGCTGACCACATAGAATGGAGAGTGAGGGGATTTTATACCTTCCCTGGGCTTTGAACTTGAGCTTCTTGTTTCTGTGCAAGAGCATGTATTCTATTGGCTGCTGTCAGACTCCCATGGAGCCATGTGGGGTCATGTTTGTCTTGAAGTCAAGTTTGGTTGAAGTGTGCTGATGCCATGAAGGGGCTTGTTGGGCAATTCCTATTGTGGCTGAGGACTAATCCTACCTTTGTTCTCTTGAATGGGTTATCAAATCTGCATTTTTAAAAGTTGGCTCCTTAGTTTCTACTTGGGGCAGAGAGCTGAGGCTCTTGAGTTTCTGTCTTTAGAAACATGTTTCTCCTTTAGGGAAAATACAATATTCTGCCTTTTAAAATATTTCTCAAAATACTTCGTTATTCTAGGAGGGGTATGGGTGCTAACTTTCTATATAGGGTTGCTTTTGAAAACTTCTTGGGATTTATAGCTCTTCCTGAATACAACGCCAGAGGTAGTTATGGGTGTAATTGAGTATGACCCTGTAACACCACTACTTTTGCGGTGTTGGCTCTCACAAAGGCTTCTGGGTCGGTGGTATGCTGTCGTTTCGGACCAGTTCAGCCGAACCGGTAGTAAAAAAAAAAAAGCATCCTACGATCAGCTGAGAGGAGAGAAAAAAAAGCGAGGACCATCTGAGAGGAGAAAGAAGATAAAAGCGCAAGATCAGCCCTCACACCTGTGTCCCTGTGCTTTTCTTCTCTTCTTTATCCTCTCAGCTGACTGTCGCTTGCAGAACCTCAGCTGGTGTGTGGAAAGCTGCCTTAGGGGATGTGCACGTGATCCCCAAACCGGGAGTGGAGTAGGTAGGATCCCACTGCTGTTCTGGGTGCCTTTCAAAGCGTAGGTTTTTACCTACAAAACTTTTCATGGTACAGAGTTGAGTTATTTACAGAATTGCTTCTCTTCAGTTATTTATGCTTGACTCACAAGAGCCAGCAGAGCGGGCAGGACTATTAAATATTAGCAAGAAGGAAAAATTGGTTCTGCAACCCAGATCTCATTAATATGCCTTTTACCATGCTTTCAAAAAAAAATAATGTATTATTCTACCGAATATTATGATTGTGCTCAAAATCTTCTAAAATATTAGTAATATGTCTTCCTTCCAGGGAGTATGTATTGCACAGGGAAGAGATAATTGGAATTACATTTAATTAAAGATTCTTAATATATTCAGGGGATGTGCCAATCAAGTAACAACAAACAGTTATGTTTTTTGTCCTTCACTTTTTTTTCCTTTTTCACTGAAGAACAAAAGGCTAATTTGTTTTCTTAGAGAGAAAAAAGACTCTGTTGGAATTGCAGCATTAGAAGATTAGAACTTCTGAACTGAACTTACAGAAGAGTCAGCTGTGCTTGACCCATTGTAGGCAGTCCAGTGTCCTTGGAGGATGCAGTGAAGCTTACCTACGGCATTGACTGATCAGTGACAATTTTCTCTTTTCTGACTTCTTAGGACATGTGTAAAATTGCTCTGATGTACTGTCAGATGATCAAAGCAAGGGCAGAGGAATTATCTTCCAATCAAACTGAGGCAGGACAAGCAGCGAACAGGGTAAGTGGTTGAGCCAGATTTTGGGTACGAGCAACAAGGTTGAACACAAGGAATGACTTCATTCTACTTTCCTCCCATCCTCCAGCTCTGTGTGGTGGTGAACAACATTGAGCAGCTCCGGATGATGATCCTGAAGTTGCCCAAACAGCTAAACTGGGCACGCTTGGAACAGAACATCGGACCTGTCATTACCTCAGAGCAGATCCAGCACACGCTCCATCAACAGCTTCAGGCTTCTGTTTCCTGCCTCAACAATGAGATCCGAGGAGTGGTGCAGACTCTGGTGACCAAAGTAACCTCACAGGCTTGGTCCAGCGGCAGAAAAGGGTCAGGGGAAGAGCGTGACTAGAACAGCAAAAGTCCAGGGGCCAAGTGTCATCCCACATTTATTTGGGCTGCTTCATATAGGGAACTTCTGGCTTTTCAGAGACCGAATTCACAGAGTTCTTATGCCTCTGAGAAGTGGGGGGGGGGGTGTCAGTGAAATTGGAATGACAGACTGTGGGAAAAACAACCGTGCCAAAACCAAAGGCACTTTTAAAAAAAGAAAACAACAGGATTGCTTCATGGGGTTTACTGGCCAGAGCTAGTCATTGTTAGTGTTCTCTGCATGCTAAAAATTCAAGAAGACAATCAGCCAATGATGTCCTTTCCTACCTTATTCCATTCCATCCTTTACCCATTACAGATCATTAGGCTTTACACTAAAGGTAGTCCTTGACCTATAACGATTTGTTCAATGACCTTTAGAAGTTACAACCACACTGAAAAAAGTAATTTATCACATTTATGACACTTAAGGCAGCATCCCCATGGTGTTGGGGTTAGCCAGCATCAGATGCGGATGGCTGAGGAGAGCGAGGACTCAGATGAGGGGCCAAGACCATTAGGGAGTAGACTGCTGAGATTGTGGGGGCTGGCAGCAGTGATGAGGAGGTTCTGGAGAGCCTGTGCCAAGTGCGCGTGCGCGCAGGATTGCTTGTAAGAAAGAGCAGCTGCAGCAGCACGGCTGACTCAGGAGTAAGGCTGCAAAGTAATGGCCTCTCGTTCAAGAAGATAAAAGCCACCTGTGAAACGAACATAACTTTGCAGAAGGCAAAGACATTTTGAAACTCCAGCCTTGTGGACATTCCAGTATCCTGAGTTTGTATTGCAAATTATTTCTTGTCTGTTATCATTTGGCAAGTCTCACAGTTTGGCAAGGCTTGTGCTTATCAAGCTAATTATTTTGCAGAGGCATTACAAAGTTTCTGTTTCCTTTGGATTGTGTTTGATTTGTTGGAAAAGGGCGTGGGTCAGAACACATGGTCATGTGATCAAACTAAACATATTTATGACAGTTGCAGTGTCTCAGAGTCATGCCATCCCTGTTTGTAACTTTCCCAGCTACCTTTGGACAAGCAAAGTCAATGGGGGAAGCCAGATTCGCCAAATGACTGATTCACTGAACAGCTGCAGTGATTTGCTGAACAACTGTGGCAAGAAAAAAAAAAACTCACAAAATGGAGCAAAACTCACTTAATAACCAACTTGCTTAGCAACAGAAATTTTGGGCTCAGTTGTGATTGTAATCCGAGGACGATCTGTACTAGAATGCTTTATGCAAGTGGCTAAATTCAGCAGCCTGTTGTACATGGAAGTCAATTCTATAGAAGAAATTCTGTCTGTAATGGTATATGTGATGTGTGACAATGGCATTGGACAGAACAGAGAGAAAACGCATATCTACTATCTTGAATGTTCAAGGAGTTTAAATGTGTGGATAGTGTGAAATATGAAAGGCCCAGTTTTAGATTGTTCCCACAAAAATCTATTAAGATGCAGTGTGGAGTGCCTGAAGTGATATAGATATGAATGGCTTAACACTTTTAATATTTATACAGTATTGCGTTTCCCCTTAATGGCATTAAAAGCATGTGGGGTTCTTTTTTGACAGATGAATGCTAGAATTGCCCAACACATCCAGCAACTGTCTGTTTGCAGTGACTCTGATAACCCAGAGGATGTGAGTATTTAATTGCTCGCTAAATGCTGTGTGTATCACTTTTTCCCTCTTGGTTTGTTCCTTTTTAACTATTTTAGGGCGATTCACAAAAAGTCATAACATTAACCAATATGTTATTCAATACTGTATGTACTTTTCTGTTCTTTAACTCTCCATAAAATATTATTGTTAAGACATCCCATATTTTCCTCTTTTATCTTCCCAGCTTTGAATCAGGTTAGATATGGGGGAGAATCTGGTAATGCACAGATAAGAATCCAGACTTGGGGAAACTTGTATTCCACATGAGTTTGTGAAAAGGAGTTAAACAGTTAGTGTTCTACACTACAACTATTTAAAAATTGTTTTAAAATATTTGTTCACGGTTTCCACCGAATTCTATAGACATTTTTATAACAGGATAATTGCACAATAAATATCTTGATCTGAAAGCATCTTGGATGAATTTGGGTCAGTAATCAGCATATCATCAACTTAAAATGTCATGCTGGCGATGTTATATTCACCTGCAGCAAGCCTTTTGTATTTCTTGTGTGATGCTCCTTGAAAGTTTCATATGCAATAATTTAGTGTCATAGCTGATAAATGTTATTTCCTATCACTTAATTTTTGTGGACCTTTTTCTGCCTCTTCTAGTGCATCACGCCTTTAATGAGATTCTTGGAGCACGAGCTTCAGTATCTAAACATGAACCTTGTCCAGGAGAATTTTAACAGGTAAAGTCAGGATAAGGAGTTACAAAAGGAGGAAAATGGCTTTTGCAGAAAGGTCTTGCCATGCTATGAATTAGGGATCGGAGTTGGTACTACCTAGGGCATCTGCAAAAGAAGAGGAAGGCTCTTGTCTCTCTTAAGCCACAATTTGGTGTAAATTGTCTACCATTCAAAACTAACAAGTGCTTGGGAAAAGGGAGAAGGAAAGCATCTGAACAAACCATAACAAATGAGCGCATCCAACATACGAAAGAGCCAGTTGGTGAAAATCAAGGTAAAATCAGGAGGAATAGCCTAGGATTTTGTCAGGATCAAAGGATAAGAGGAGAAAAACAACAGAACTCTGTGCTTGGTTTCTGAATTGATAGGTAGTTCATTAGGAAATCAGTGGTAGGATACCAAAGCCATTCTAGATGAAGAAGGCATTAATTGTGTCTACATAGACTGTTTTCCACATGTTCTGACAAGTTCTCTTCTTTATATATGCATCCTTGTCTCTGGGGCTTTTTAGGATGTGATGGGCATGAGAAACAAAATTAGGCAAAAAATGGAAAAGACATAGGGCTTCCTTGAGTTGAGTCCAGCTCTTGGTAATCAGCCCTTGGCAACAATACCAATGTCTTTGGATCTATGTTTTCTTTCCTTTTCTTTCTCTGGTTCCTTCTTCTAGTTTACAGTGTCAGTCACCCAGAATTGTTGGGAGTCGGGCATTCTTTGAATTCAATAAAGTCTTTAATTAAAATAGAGCTTTTGAATTCTTCTGTGTAAATTCTCAGTGTCCTCTAAAGCCATGGCATGTCCTGATGGTGTCCTATTGAAAGGGACAACCACTAACCATGTCTTAGCCCTGTTTGGCTTTCTGAGAAGAGCAAAAGTTGGCTAGGTACTAGTATTTGCTTTGAATGGAACAGAGGAAAAGAGAGGTATAAATATTGTTAATGGTTAAAACAAAGTACTGGTGTCTTATTTGTCCTTTGAATATTAATGTCCCTTATTCTGTGAGCTGTTGTTATTTTTCCTCCGAGTTTAGAATAATTGATGCTCTTTCATGGCCCACTAAACATCTGCATGTTTTATTTTTAATATCAGCCTTTTGGTTTTTTTTATGTTGTCTTCCTATGGAATTTTTCTTAAACCTCTAGAAATTAGAAACTTGGCAAACTGAATTGGTTTGCTGCCTTATCTTCCTTAGTATATATTTCCCCCAACTAATCTTTCTTGAGATTGTGTGTGTGTGTGTGTGTGTGTTAGAATATAGGTGGATCAATGGGTGTGAATTAGGAAGGAGGGATATAATTTAATTACTATAGTTTTTTAATACAAACTTTTGATATCACATGTTTGAAACAATCCACACTGTAAGTAAGCTATCTTTCTAAAGTCATTCTTCTCTAAATTTTGCAGCGCAATTTAATTGTGAAAATGTGATGCAGAAATGAGAACACTGGTTGCAAAATCTGCACTCATTACTGGTAGATAGAATTGCAAACAAAATCATATATTTGGAGAAATATGTCCTCCCCAAATTATACATTTCTCAACACCAAATAAAGAAAATGGCTCAAATGGGGCAAGAACTTAATGGAACTTAAAAATGCAATGAAGATAAAACAATATAGACAGATTAGAAATGGAGAAAAAGTTAAATTTATAATCCACTCATCCTTAATTTGAGCAGCTTCAGTCCAGCCCCAGGGCCAAATGTACTAGGCTTTGCTTAATCTTAGTAAAAATGCCTTGTCTAGTAATCTGTCGTACATCTCTACTTCTTTTGGTTCTTCCCAAACAGTCTTCTGGAGCTTCTGTGGAATCACACCTTGGACTTGATAAAAGATGCTACAAAACAACAAGTTGGAAAATTGGACTACTTTAGGAAATTTCAGTTTGCCCTCCAGGTACTTAGGGATGTAAAGTGAAATCAAGTAGGAAGAGCATGACTTATGCTGTGCTCCAATGTCCTACTGCTTTCTCTCTTTCTCTCCATCTCTCCCACAGAGCTTGGAACTTTGCTTTCATGGAGAAGGCTGTGGACTATCCAAAGATGCCCTTCACACACCAGCTTTTATAGTAAGCTACTGCAACCTTTGCTACCCTTATAACAAGCCTGTACAACTTGGAAAGGGGAAGGAGCCACATCGATAAATTTAAAAATTCTTGTGGCTCTCACAGTAATAGCTGGCATGCCAATCAGCTATTTGGTGGCTAATGAAAGAGGGGCAACCTTAGAATTGGCAGAAGTGATGAGACTTGAAGGTGTTCTGCAGTGTGCCTTTTAAACCAGAAACTTATCGTAATGAATTTATTACTTTTAAGAAAAAGTGAAGCATTTAGGGCTGCTTGGACAGCCACATGCTGTGCTAGCCTGTTTTACAGAAAAACCTCTGAGCAACAGGTATTCTAGGCCTGCCCAAATGTTGACTTTACATATCTAAATACATTTAAAAAGCATTCCCGCATAAAAAACATTCCTGCATCAACTTACCTTTGCATACAAAACCCCTGCATGAGCATCCCATATATTCCCTGCTCACTCACATAACAAGGGCCACAAATACTGCATCTGTTAGCCAGACAGTTTTTTTTTTTAAAAATATGCAGATTCTGGCTTACACAAAAGTTGCCCACCCGTGTTGTGCCATCATATGTGCTGCCCTGTCAGGATTTCCATACTGTTCAAACTATGGATCTAGTCCACTTCACATGAAGTGAAAGCTTTTGTGCATTTTAAAGATGCTACTTCATTTTATATGGTGTTAAGGCAGAGGTAATACTCTTCTGTGGATGGAGCAGGGAGGTCATTTGTACTGTCCCCCTATAGCTGTTGATTGAAATTATCAAAATCATTGGGCAAAAGCATTCACTTCACTCTGAGGTTGAACATAAATATGCTGATAAAATGGCTCTCGATCCGGGTTCCCAAACTCTTCGTCTCATTGACCTTTTCAGGAAGTTTCAGTTTGTTCATCAAACCCCCAAAGATTTATTATATGAAAATAATTTAATAAACACTACTTTAACTAATAGAACATCTGTCTGGTGTAGTAGTTAAGACATCGGGCTAGAGACAGGGAGACTGTAAATTCTAATCTCGCCTTGAAGGGATAAAGCCAGCTGGATGACCTTGGGCCAGTCATTCTTTCTCAGCCCTAGGAAGGAGGCAATGGCAAATCACATTCAGCAGAAACTTTGTGTATGGCCTGACATTGGACAAACAAGATTACAGTGTCAAAAGTGTCTGGTGTAGCAACATTTCCTACCTGGGAAAGCGTCCGTTTTTATTTCTCTCTCTTAGTCATGTATTACTTATTTTATTCATAGCCTAGTATTTCTGCTGAAACTCATTTCTCTCATAGGCTCTGGAGAAAGAGTTGGATCTTTGCTCCTCTACCAGCAGAAAACTTATCGAAAAGTATTTCAGTGCTCGAATCCAGCAGCAGGTGAGGCCCATCCTAGCTCCTGTTTAATAATATGATAATAGTAACAGTAATAGACTTACAGTACTCTCTAAGCTGTTTACAGAGTCAGTATATTGCCCCTAACAATTTGGGTCCTCATTTTACACCCAATGATCAATCATGTGAATATGAGAAATGGTGCAGTTTAATTATTTTGAACATGATTTAGGAACAGGCAATATGAGTTATAAAACTGTACAATGCAATGGTATCAGACTTTCTGATTTGGGATGAATTGTTTATCTTCTGGCTTCCTTAATACTTTGGCTTTTATCATCTTTGACAGCACATCACCATTTTCCCTGACAGTTTTTCTGGTTGTTCTTCTCTTAGGAAGCGGCCACTCCTGAAAAATATGGTGCTGTGACTATCAAAGCTTTTTACCGTCACTCAGAACAGAAACTGTATATTGAAGTACTCAATGCTGTTAATCTCCTTCCCATGGACTCCAATGGTAAGAGAACTTTTGGGCCGAATTCCTGAATAATGTGTGATAGATTGTTAGCTTCATTAGCATGGGGCATGGAATTGATCCTTGCTTGCACTGTTCGGTTTAGAGATACATTTAACTAACATACTGCAGTTTAGTTTTGAGTGTAGTCACCAATTGGCCTTTATGGACAGCGTCGATTCAAATGGAACTGATTTTGCTGCAGAATCTGGCCATGGAGTCAAGCATTCAAAAACAGCAAATAAAGTTTTTAATGTTCTAAGATCAAGTTTAATCTGTTCTGTAGAGAATACCCCCATTCAGTCTAGACCAGGTGTAGGGAAACTTGGCTCTTTTATCACTTATGGACTTCAACTCCCAGAATTCCTGAGTGAGCCATAAAAGATTCCTCATCCCTGGCCTACGGATTTTTCAGTTGTGAGGGAAATCAATTTTTGACTTGAATGGGACTGTTCAATATACAAATATAGGACATATTCTTTATATGTCATTTATATGTCCTACATTTGTATATTAAACAGTCCCATTCAAGTCAAAAATTGATTTCCCACAACTGAAAAACCAGTAGGCCAGGGATGGGGAACCTTTTATGGCTCACTCAGGAATTCTGGGAGTTGAAGTCCGTAAGTGATAAAAGAGCCAAGTTTCCCTACCCCTGGTCTAGATCATGTATTTTATGAATGAACTATTGCAGCCTTCTGTACTGTTATGTTTTGTTCAGGGGTGGGCTGCTGGGGGTTTGCAGGAGTTCAGAAGATCCTCTAGCTAAGATTCTGCAGTTTGGAGAACCCCAAATCCCACTCTTGGCTGGCCCTGCCCCCACCTGCCAGGAGTCCCCATGCAGCCCGTTTTGGATGCAGGTAAGGGCAGGGCACGCATGGAGGCTCAGGGAGAGCAAAAAATGGGCCTCCCCGAAGTTCGGGAAGGCTGGAAACGGTTCTGTTTTTGGCTTCCAGAGAGCCTCCAGAGCCCAGGGAGGCCATTTTTGCCCTCCCGGAAGGTCGAGCAAAGCCTTTCTATTCTGATTCCTAATTTTGTTTGTGTTTAGAGCACATGAAGAATTTTGTATCTTCTAAAAGGCAATCTGAGCAAAGATCCTCTGCTCTATAGCTTTGTAACAAACACTGTTAAATAAAATATCTGTGTGTGTGTGTGTGTGTGTGTGTGTTCCAAGCACACAGTTAGAGAAAGATGCCAAAATGTCATGTTGCATTCTTAAAAGGAGAAGGGAAAAGAATAGATTGCCTACATTTCATTCTGCTCTCCAGAAGAGGAGGATGTTGACTGAGCGCTCTGCAAATAGTCCACTTCTGGCTTTGCTTGTCTTTTAAAAAAATCTGCCACGAATCACACTTTGTGTTCCAGGACTTTGGAATAATAAAAAAAGAACACTGAATGAAGAAAAAATTGTTTGAAAATACAAAGTTGAATTTAAGAATTATTAGCGTTTAGCAGTACAGTCCATGCATACACTTCCCCCAACTTCCCATCATCCAGTTATCTTGGCACTTCAGTGAGCATAATTTTCCCTGGCCCAGTAGAAGATAGGAAACTGCAGTTTCCTCAACGTTTGGGGAGCATCAGGTTGTGAAGGGCTGGAATATATGTAACACTTAGGACTGTCACTGTTAGTTAACAGGAATGAGAAAGAGCTTTCTCTGACCCTTGATTTAGATGTCAGAGGACTGTTGCATATCAACAGACAGGCACTAGTCAAGTGACCAATAGAATGACTCAGAAAACAGTGGCTTCATCTACTCCATATCATATTGGAAAGGATTGGAGAAGAAAGTGATTCTTGACATCAGTTTATAAACATTCCAATAAAAATGAACAAGATAAGCACTTTACCTCTGTCCTAACCTTGTGTATTACAAGAGGTTGAATGTGCCTTACTTTGGAGGCTTTTTTTGAGAAACAAATGTTCATGATAGATAAGTAGGTTTTGCATTATTGTTCTGTTACTTTTTCTACACCTTCCCCTCCCCCCAATATAGGCCTAAGTGACCCCTTCATCCAACTCACTCTGGAGCCACATCATGAATTCCCTGAGATTGCAACACGGACAACTGAGTGCATAAAGAACAATCTCCATCCTCTGTTTGATGAAGCCTTTGAATTGTATGTATGAAGAGCCACTCCTCTTTCCTGTCCTATAATCATTGTCCAAGATTATACAGTTATCATACTTAGAGCATGAGTTTAATACATTCCTCATCTTCCTTTCATTGACATGTTGCAGATATCACTGCTGTGCTCTGAGAAAACTGCCTATGAGGTTGAGCTCTGTTCCCTATTGGGGGTGGAGGTGGTGGTAATATACTTTGTCCTATTTCTATTAGAAGAGGTATCTTGACTTCACCACTGCCATATTGGTTTTCACTACAGTTTGGTTCCTCCAGAAAAATGTCAGCAAGACGGAGCATGTCTGCTGCTTACAGTGTTTGACTACGACACCCTGGGAGCAAATGACCTGGAAGGAGAAGCTTTTCTCCCACTCTGCAGGGTCTTGGGACTGAATGAGCCTGAAGAGCCAATCAACCCATCCATAGTACCACAGATTCGTTTATCTTTAACTCATCCTGGAACTGCTGGTAACTGCCTCTCTCATCCTTCATGCTATCCTCTGGAATGAAAACATTCTGGTTAGGAATCCATCTCAAACAGGATCAAAGAACACTTTTATTTATTCTGTTGCACAAACCAGGCTGTTAATAGGTCAGAATATTCATTACATTATTTATGTTTTGCTACAGAAGGGAGAGGAGGCCGTGAATTAAAATAGAAGTGTTTATAGTTATAGCATGCTAAATTGAGGAATTAATTCATTAGTCATACTAATCTAGCTAGTGGTGCTTCTACTTTTGTCAGGCAGTAATATAGTTTTGCATGAAATATCTTTTGTTTTGAAACTTCAATAAGAAAATATTTGGGTAAAGTAAACACCCTTCTAGAATTTTATATAGGAAGCTACATTTTAAACACTATAAAAATGTAGAGGGATAGCAACTGGAAATGTACACATTATCTGGCTGTAATATTTTAATACAATTCTGGGATTGTTTTAATTACCACTAAATAAATACTAAAATATGCAGGAAAGCTTCAATCACCAACTATCTTAAAATATATACCGTATTTGCCGGCGTATAAGACGACTGGGCGTATAAGACGAGCCCCCAACATTTCCACTCAAAATATAGTTTTTGTTATATACTCGCAGTATAAGACGACCCCCCCACTTGGAGGCATGCTTTTCAAGGCAAAAAAGTCGTCTCATACGCCGGCAAATACGGTAAGTTGTAACACTTGGGGTATTCTGGATATAATTCTTGATTGACACCCCCAACCCCTTTCCCCCAAACTTACAAAGCCACCAAAATGCTTTAGAGAGGCAGCTTCGCCTTTCTCAGGCTGGCACTCGATTCCTCTCCCTTTCTTTGTGACAGCCCCCGCGTGCGTGCCATCGGGACTCCAAGGGTGGGGGATGGACAGCTGCCAACTCTCTCTCTCTCTCTCTCTCTGTGTGTGTGTGTGTGTGTGTGTGTGTGGTGTGGAGGGTAATTCCGGCTATCTCTGGCCTCCGCTCGGTTTTAAAGTCGCTTGGCCGGTTCCCAAGTCGCAAGCGCGCGCTGGCCGGGAGACGCGGCGCCGGGTGGAAGCCCGGTGCAGGGGAGGCAGATCTTTCTCTCTTAAGTGGGGAGGGGAGGAGGGGACAAGAGGAGGGACGGGACGGGACAGGGGGCGGGAGGAGGGCGCCCGCCTTCTTCCACCGCCCACCGGACCCTTTTCTTCCCAAGGGGACCCTGGAAAGCAGCTCGGGAGCCGGGTGGCCCTGCCCAGCGGGGTCCCATCAGGAACTTCCTGAGGACACCCCCCCCCCGCCCCAAGCACAGCCCTCCCGGTCTTTCAAAGAGGGAGGGAGAAGCGGGAGGAGCAAATTGCCGCCCCCCACCCCGCTGCCCAGAAGGAGGGGCGCCACAGTCCACCCCCACCACCTTCTCCCCCCCCACTCCCTGGGCCATTACGCGGCTCGGGGCTGGCTGGGCGAAGCGGCCCCGCCAGAGACCCTCCCGCTCCACCCCCACCCCACCTCCAGATTGGCCTCCGCAAGCGCCCCGAGCCGGGCGGAGGGTGGGTGGGTGGGTGGGAGGAGGAGGAAGAGAGACTCCGGCTGGGCTTGAAGGGGCTTCGCAAGTTGCGGAGCTCCGCCCCCGTCGCTCTTGCACCGAGTGACAATGTATTTACCGGCGTATAAGACGACCCCCCCACTTGGAGGCATGTTTTTTAGGGCAAAAAAGTCGTCTTATACGCCGGCAAATACGGTATATTAAAAGAGCCACACACATTTTGTACGCTATGAATAATATGATGCAATAATGAGATGAAACCTTAGAAAAGTTTGGCCTATAATGTCATTAAAGAAGGCAGAGTTAAGAAAATTATATTGGCTTTCTTTTAATCTGTTTTACTGAAAATAGACTATTTACTCTACTTGGACCTTGTTCTTGTTCCACCCACAGGAGAAATGACATGCAATTCTCTTTTCATTAGTGGGTTAAAACTTGATTTAAGCTTTGCATTATTAAACTGAGAGTGGATATTTTCCAAAGGTCTCACTAGATACCAAGTTTTAAATTCTTAGTACCATGGGCTTGGAAAGATAAGCTGATTACCTTTTGCCTCGGCAATTGCAAAAACAGTTTTGCCTTCTTGAGTAGCAGATAAAGTGATTTCCCATTGACAGGGATCGAGAGTTCATCTCACCTGACTCCTCTGGCCATGCTGTGTAAGTCTTGTGCCCATCTTCTACTTCTCCTCAGTTGCTTAGGGGTTCAGTTTTGCTGCTCTTTCTATGTGATGAGCATGTTTCCTCCTGTTGGCTGAGCACTGAAGAAGCGCTGAACAGAGTAATGTAAGGATGAAACACATGACAAAGTGAAGTGAGGATTAAGGCTTGCACTGGCCTTTAGAGAAAGATAAACCTGGGACATTTTGCAAAAAAGAATTCCAAACTGCAGATTGATGTAGTTTTTTCTTTCTTTCTTAGCTCTTTCATTCTTTACCAAGTGACTGTTATAAATCCCAATCTGTATCAGTGGTTGCTTTTGAATTTCTTAAGTTCATAGAAAAAAGTAGAAATTTCCTGTCTCTATGCATGTCTCTATGCATTTTAAGTCCCTTGCACTCAAGACATTAGATTAGCAATTGAATCTCACTTTATCCACTCCTTTAAAAATTTGTGTTAAGATTCTCCCAAGCTGAAACAAAGATTAATTCAAGACTAAAGGGGATCAAAAATAAGTGTTTAAGGCTAGAGGAAGAAATCGAAACAACTTAAAAAAAAAAATCCTGCCTTGCTTGCTATATGTATTGTTCACTAATGTCCATTATATTAATACATTTTTCCACCAATACATATTTCTAGTTTTTATTTCTACAGAAGTATTTTCCCCAAATTATACCTCTCAATTTTTGTAATGTTTTCACAACTGATATCCGCGTAGCATATATAACTAATCAAGGAGAGAAGCAACTTAGAACTAAGGAGAAATTTCCTGACAGTTAGAACAATTAACCAGTGGAACAACTTGCCTTCAGAAGTTGTGAATGCTCCAACACTGGAAGTTTTTAAGAAGAGCTTGGACAACCATCTGTCTGAAGTGGTTTAGGGTTTCTTCCTGCCTGAGTAGGGGGGTTGGAGAACTCCAAGGTTCCTTTCAACTCTGTTAGTCTGTTCTGTTCTGTGCTTCCACAAGGAACCTACCATCCCCACTCAAAAAAAAATTGAACAAAAGTTATATTACCATAAAAGACTTTTCTATAGGAAGAAGGGGAAAAAAATAGGCAGATGGAAATGTACAGAACACATATAAATACAAATTTGTAGTGAGTTGTGCATAATAACGAAGGCCAAATTGAGCAATGTTGTCCTCTTGGGATTGCACAGAAGCCAAGTCGTTTTTGCACATAGAATCAAAGGGCTGGAAGAGACCTTTGAGGTCGTCTACTCCAACCCAAGGCAGGAAACCTTATACCGTTCCAGACAAATGGTTGTCCATTTTTTTCTTGAAAACCTCCAGCAATGGTATACCCACAATTCCGTAAACCAAGCTGTTCCTGCCAGGAAATTTCTTAAGTTTCAAGTTGAATCTTTCTCTGACAAGCTTCCACACGTTGCTTCTTGTCTTGCCTCAGGCACATTGGAAAATAGACCCCCTTTTCCGCTGTGACAACCCTTCAAACTATTATGTCATCCCTAAATCTTCTCTTCATTAAGTAAGACACACACCTAGTTCCCTTAGATGTTCATTGTACAGTTTAGCCTCCAAACCCCATATCATCGTTGCTCTTCTCTGCGTTCTAAGGCCTCAGTATCTTTTTTTTAAAAAAAATCATGGTATATGGTACATTAAAAATTATGCAGTAAAATCCTTGCTCAGAAGCATCTAAACAGCTTCTCCTTTGGTAGCTGGGTAATGAACAATGGAACTTTTTTTGAAAATGACTTTGTATTAATGATTTTGTACTAATTTTCTGAGAAAAGTACAGCATGCTGGAGCAGTACTGCTATATCTCAGTGAACTGCAGATCATCTCTTCCCTCTTAGGCAATGACATCCTGAAGCTCCTGGGGACCCGCAAAAAAGACAAGGAAGCACAGGCCTTCGTGAAGCTACGCAAACAAAGAGCAAAGTATTCCAAGGAGCTGGCATGATGCAGTCAAGCAAAATGGGTGAAAGCACAGGTTGAACCAAGGTACCACAGAAGTTCTGCTGCCATGGCAACCGCTGTTCCTATGGGGAGAGTAGGTAGCCATGAGGCTCTTGTTATTCTTCCTGGGGGCTTTGATGCAACCAGCCAGATACTGGAAGCTCTTTATCCATGCAATTTGAAGCTGCCGGTTGTATTTCGATGAACAATTGATCCATTTTCATCTAAGAGACAACAGGAAGGAGTCATATCACCCACCCCACTCCCCACTCTTTCTTTGCAGCAGGAGTTTGAAAAGAATGAAAAAAGGGGAATATTGGAAGCTGCTACAGGCTGTCGCAAGCTGATCTATGCCCATCATTATGTGCGTAATACACCTCTGCTGGGAAGAACCAGGCTGCTTGAGTAGTGAAGCTTGTGATGAGCCTCTTGTGGACCTTCTGCAGGAATTCTTTACTCTGTGCTCCAGATGGCACGGGAAAGGGGCTCCCAAGGGAAAGGAAATAAACATTTTGGAAGTGGAAAAAACGGGTGTGTTTTCTAGCCTATTACAGAGTCTGGGACTGCCTTCTGCTTAAACAGCTTGATTTAAAAAAACAACAAACTGAAAAACTGCTGGTAACGGCTTCCAGGTCTTTTTATATCCAGGGCATCGTTTTCATAATTGCAAAGGCAGCTCAGCAAGGTCTGAAAAACCCTTGTGGTTGAAAGCAATGGATGAATTAATAATTATTGTACAATCCTCTCCTCTACCAACAGTACTCTTCTTGCTATAGCTATAACCTTATAGCTTTCTCTTAGGGGGAATCACGGGGGCCTGAGATGACACTTGTTACAAAAGCAGAATTTTGGAGGATGAGGGTAACAAAATGTCTTCACTTCCACAGCATGAAGAAAAAGTTATGCTGCTGTGAATTAATCTCAGGTAAATAAATTCAGGAGCATGAAAGAAGACAACAATATTGCAGAAATACATTTCTGCAGTTTTTCAAAGTTTTGTCATTTTTTTCCTGTGCTGGGATCCATGTTGCCATGACAATTACAGCTTCACGTGCTCTTCCTTCTGAGAGGGCTCGTTTTCATGCCCCAGTGTCCAAAATTAAACGTTTCCATAGACAAAGGAAGAAAATAATTAAGCAGACTAAAGTTCTCAGCTGTTTTTTCTCTCTCTCCCATCAGAAACAGCAAGACTACCCGGTTAAATAAAACTAGGGCACACTGTTTCACCATGTGAGAAAGGAATTAGGCCTCAGGATTAGGGAACAAGAGGTGGGGGGAAGGGAGAGATCAAAACCTCATGATGGCTGCTTCAAGTATGTTGAAGCTGTCATACTTCAAAGATTGTTCACAGGATTAGAAAACAGCATTGCATATTTGTAGCCTTAGGTCCAGCTCCCTTTATCCTCTCCACAAGAGTGTAGATATGGCTACTCAGACCTGAAATGCATTTAAGGGTATTTAAATATTCCTAGCCATAATTAGAGCCCATTTCTCACTAATAAGATTCAGGCAGGTTAAAATGTATTGCTCTAAACTACTTATCTGTGAAAGGCAGATCTGCTCCCAGAAAGACCTGCTGCCTAAATCACTACAGATGCAAACCGAGCAGATGTTACTATTTTTCTGGCAATAAGCATAGCCTAGCATGATTCAGAGACGAACAGAAGTGTGGAGAGCACAGCTGGGCCCCAGGGTTCATACAGTTTAAGAGTCAACTCCTTGTTAAATCTGCTCCTCATAAATAAATCTGCTTTCAAGCTAAGGTTACAGCTGTGCATTGCAGATGTGACTTTCATAACTCATGTTGTGCAAAATGCTTACCTTTAGGTGGTAACCACCCCACGTTTACTTGTTGTAAATATAACTTGTTCCTGCCACTTAATATTTTCCTGCCATTGGTAAGACTGATAGTATTTCTGCATCTTTGCCAACTCTGTGGCATCCTTACTTAAAAGTTCAATCACATTAATAGCTCTAAAACAAAAGTGTTATACTAGGTGTTTTATTTGCCATTTATTTTGAAAATATAAGACAACATGTGCCCCATGGGAATTTTTTCAGCGAGATTTCCTTACCTAAAAGAGAGACAGATGACCAAGGGTGGACAAAAAAGCAGTGGGAGCAGTAGCAACTTCTGATTTCTGCCAGCTTCCCCATTGAGTCTCCTTGAGGAAATCTGGCAGAGAACACAAGAAATCTTTAATCCCTTCCCTACCTACTGTAGCAGGCAGATAATGGCTGTTACTGGGTGGGGGAGGGAGGAAGAGATTGTGAGCTTGGCTGGGAAACTTGTCACAGAATGTTGAAAATGAAGTTCACACTATCACAGTTGCAACCAGTACCACTGTAACAGCCAAAATTTCTCCAAATTTCATTCCTCAGGAGTCATGGGTCGCAGATTCTGGGTGCTCTCTGTAAGTAAGCCCATTTGGAGTGTCTTGGTTAAAGAATTGCCAAAAATGCATCATTTGCCTAAACATATGAGTTTTAATAGGATATAGATGGATTCACTGGGTTGCAACCCATTGCATTATCATCTTTAATGTGCCAAGAGACTTACCACTATTTATGATACGTGTATATGAAAAGTTAAGAATCTCCAAAGGCTCAGTGTGATTCAACCTATGCTTAACATGATTTCATTTCAATTTAGCTGTCAGTTTATCTTGCAAAGAGAAGTCAATTTCAGGTCAATTTGATATAAACCACCATTCTGAATAATTTGGTGTCCTCTAAAACAATGATGCATTCCAGATAATTTAAAAATAAATTAAATAGCATTGCAGCCATTAGATCATCTGTCAAATATAGTACTATACCTCTTACTGACTGAAAATGTTATCAATATGTATAACTGCGATGTCATCTTCAATTAATTACCGACTCCTAAGAAATACATCCTTCTAATGCATGAATGCTTGGTTTATACAGGAGCTTTTATAGGGAAAACTGTCAAAAATATTTTGAAAAACCAATTGTTTGATGTCTTAATGGGGAGAAAAATTCTAATGAACAGAAACTTTCCTCAGGCCAAAAAAAATGATGCTAATAATATGGTTCTATCTATAGATTGACCTGCCATGGTTCTATCTATAGATTGGCTTTAATTATTAATCCTAGCTGACTTTTAGGCCATCAAGCCTATCATTTGTTCTCTCTGCAACAACTTCTTTAAAAAAAAATAATGCTACAAACACCCAATGCAGATGATTTTAGGAATGAACTATTTTTTCCCCAAAACATCAGTAATTTCAACTTAGTTATGGAAGGGGAGACCATGGGAGAGGTGGAAGATTTCCTTCTCCTCTGTCCCCCCTCCCCTCAAGAATTTGCCAGAGTTTTGGGAAGACATAGAATAAGAACTTTGTTTCTCTAACAGTTTGGATATCTCATTTTTACATCCACCTTGAACCAATGATTTTCTTTTTTTAAAAAAAAAGTCAGCGTGGATTTCTTTTCCTCAACCACATAACCTCCAGATGTATTGGAATTACAAGTTCCAGAAACACCTGGAAACACAGTCATGAGAGTTTGGTGTAGTGGTTAAGTTAGTAGGCTATAAATCAGGAGACTGAGTTCTAGTCCTGCCTTCGGCATTAAAGTCAGCTGGGTGACTTTGAGGCAATACCTGCTCTCAGCAAGTTTCCACTTCACAAGATTGTTGTTGTGGGAAAAAGGAGGAAAGAATATTAGGCATATTTGCCATCTTGATTTACTTATGAAGAAATAAAGGCAGAATAAATAAAAATTGAATGAATGAATGTTCCCTATCATTTGCAATGGCACTAAGAAAAGGTTAGGGACTAAAAAGATTGATATCCAGCTATTAAGAAATGAAGTCAATACTGTCCTGCTTCTTTCACCTTGAGAAATTTACTTTAAGAATTGCAACTGCTCAACAGGAAATAAGCAGAGCCATGGTACTCCAGCCTGCTGCAATCCTAGTTTTGAGAATGTGAAACTATTATAGAAACAACTCAATAATTTCATACTAATTTTCTAGTGCCTTGTGGTATTTTTAATTAGCTCTATCCAGGGGTGGGATTCTACCTGTTCGGCCTGGTTCGGGCGAACCGGTAGCTCAAACAATCAGCTGTTTGGGCCCAACTGCTTGCCCCGACTCTAGTCTGTGCTTTATATCCTGGTTTTCAAGCTCAGGTGATTTGTGCGGCACAGCGGATTGTTGCGTGTCAGCTGTTTAACACACAGAGATTGCCGGAGATCAGTAGCAAACCCTCTGGTTGCGCGTGCTCACTGAGCTGGTTGTTACACCAGTTGAATTGCACCCCTGGCCCTATCTGTCTATCGAGATTCTCAATCATCCAGGTCATGGTTGTCCCAAAGGTGCTTGTACACCTTCTTTGAAGACATCTCACTTCTCAGAACTGAAGAAGCTTCATGGATGACAAACGAAATGTCTTTGAAGAAAAACAAAGTTCAGTTGCCTCTTGAAAAAGCACCTTTGGGATAGCCCCCATCTTACATTTATAATCTTCACAAACCCTATTCCATGAGCTATATTTACTAACGCAAAGTAAATGTCCTACTGTCCAATCAGCCACCAGCTATTCTTAGCCTTGTATGAAATGGGACCATATTCACCCAAAGATTAACACCTTAAATCTAAGTCATTACAGACAGAAATATAAAGACAATCCGGACAAGTGCAAATGCAAATATTATTAGGGAGTGTAGCTCAATCCAGAGAAAGTTATTGTACTGCACCTAATTTTACTGACTCTTAAAGTTATTTATGATTGATTTATCCTGCTGATAACAGTAAATCTCAGTATGATTAAATTTATAATTGTTAAATTTATATGATGGAGCCTTCAGTTTTAAATCCCGATCTTAAAATTAGCAGAATTATTTAAGCAAGAAATGTCCAGTGCGTATGAAGAGACAGATACTACAGTACAGTAATCTGTTTATTAAACAGGCCTGTCTTTGTTTCCTTTTTTCAAAAGTGATGGGAAGATAGATGGGATACCAGACTGGAACAAAGAAATGTGAAAAGTTCCTGGCTAATATTGTTAGCAGTTTTTAGCAGCATTATTTACAGTTGGATGTTGAAAAGCTGCTTGAGTAAACTACCAGAAAGCCAGCATCTCCACTCACCATTCTGAGACCTTCAGACTATGTCTTCAACAGCCTGCAATTGTCTCTCTTCAGCCATTACAAAGTTTCACTAGAACTAGTACTTTTCTAGCTAGGTCATGGGAGTGCCAAAATTGCTGTCCCTATCTCTCATTTTTATGGCAGGGCAAAAAAGGAAAAAAACAAATGCCAAAGCCATTGCTGTTAGACCAACTTCAACTAAGACCTGCCTAAAGGCACAAAGCCGTTATGGTGAAACCCCGAACTAGCCCACTCCCAAACCCAAAGAAGCTCTAATGTTTCAAACAGCAAAACAAAAATGCATGATTTGAGATTTTAGGCAGTTGAATGAACGAAAATCAGTTTGCCTACTTTAATACAGAATCTGCTGTACTTCAAGGAGCAGTACCAAAGTTATGACAGTGTGAAGACAACAAAAGTACTCACTACAAAGCATTGAGGAAGACTTTCCTAGGTCTAGAATTTCCCCCCACCTGTGGACTCTTAGGAATGGGAATACTGGCAGTAACAACAATTTTTTTTAGAATGAGAATTTAGAATTTGAGAAAAAGCCCAAGTCTCTTTTAATTTTGTTTTTATACCATAAACATATTTTTTTTAAAAAACATCCTAAAATCCTATCATCTGTATTATACACAATGGGGAATGAATTATAGAATACAATATTAACTTATTTTAGTATATGAATACAATATTAACTTATTTTACTGTACACTGTCTTCAGATTTCTCTAAAGACATATTATGGTTTCCATAGTATCAAAAACTAAAAAGGTGACACATTTCTTTACATACAACCCATAAAATACTCTTCAGGCAGAAGCTCTGTCAAGCTTTGCCAACACTTACTATCTTTTTACTTTTCTGAAGCTTGAACAGAAAAAACTGTTCTAGTGAGATACTTTATCAATAATATGCAAGGAATTGTTCCTTACTTCCCTACCTTCTAAATATGAAGTAAATATTCTCTTATAATCCAAGTGACACCACATGTACATTCTAATACAGACAAACATATGCACAAACAAAATGGCTACCTTTTTTCTTAGAAAAAAAATAAAAAAATTTATTGTCTTCTAGAAAATCCATCCTGCCTTTGGAAATTGTGACATAAGATCGCATTTTGTTTCAGCTCCACATGCAAATTCACTTTGCCAAGAAAGAGTGTCTAAAATTAGGTTTCTGGACAGCCAAACACACATATATACAGAGTACGAGAAAGAACAATAGCTGAAATCACAGTTCCGTATTACAGTCTATAATAATGTAATCAAACACCACATTGTACACACCATCTATTATTATTATCTTTTGGCTGACTTCTACACAGATTGGAATGGCTCTCCCTCCACCAGCCACCTTCCCTACAATGGAAAATCCAAGGAAAGAGACTGGTTAAGAAGTGCCACCATAAATACTGCAGTGTGTAGTTTTTAAGAATTTATATTGTATTATTTATGTTCTGTTTAAAACACTGGAAGCTACAAAGTGGGAAAGCCCTATAGAGATTTTGGATCCATAGTCACCAGATTTGAGGAACACTTCACTTATAATACTTCTCACCAGAAACATCTATGTTCTCATTGCATTACTTCAAAGGTTGCTATATTGGGGGGATGGGAGAGAATTAAAAATTATAATGAAGAGACTCCCTCACACATATACTGGTTATAAAAGAAAGAAATGTTAGGAATATTTAGGGAATAGTTGCAAGGCTTCCATGTGGTATCTCTGTTCTGCTCTGTTTTTATGACTGAACTGTGATTTAATAAAACAAGGTGACCCAAATTAGCTTTGAGTTTGTGCATTTCTGTTCAAAAGATCTACTTTTGAGTTTTGACTGTATTTTTGTATTATGTCTGAACACGAATCTGCAGGTAACCTTAGTGAAAAAATTAACTAGTTTCTCAAGTTATGTTTTAATGATGGTTTGTTTCCATTAACCACAATTAACACTAAAGGCAGTTGTAGAAGTTCAAACAGCACAGCAAGCTGTGAGTGTTTCAAATGGATGTAAATGAGTTCAACTTCCTTTTCATACTTGCACTGGAGAAGAGGAAGAGGAAGAGGAGACAGTAAGAACAAGCAAGGGGCCACTATCTCTTCTATCGGAGCCCTGCAGATGAGGAGAAATGCTTGACTGAAAGATGCAATACCTCACCTTCACAAAACCATTCACCTTAAAAGGAAGGAACATATGTGGGCACTTAGAGGCTTCCCGATTAATTCTTCAATTAATCAACTATCCTATATACCTCATATAGATTTACTGACCTCTCTGAATAATGTGGATTTTGCAAATAAAATATTCATTTTTCTCATATTTGTAGCAAGATGAAAATGTCTAGTTTGGATTAGTGAGTAGTATTAATAGCCGGACCTCCAACTCTGTAAGACCTTTGGACAGTGGAAATGTATTACATTTTGCTAGTTAGGACTTTGCTCAAAAAGCAGAGTTGGGAGACGAGAGACTTTATGCTCAACTGTGTGGGGAATTCCATAATCCAAACACAATTCCTTTGGCATTTTATTAGGGATGATTTACTCACGAACCCCAATTTTTGACAGGCAGAAGCTACAGACTCTGTTGGTTTAAAAGAGAGGAATTGCGCAGATCCTCTAATGGACAATTGCTGGCAGAATAGAGCAGAATTGCTCTCAATCACCCCAGTAAACAAAACTGCCTATACAGAAATTTAATACAGAATTAAATCTTTAAAAAAACAGAGAAGCCATTTTTGCTTTTTTCACTTGATAACTAATAAAACATTCACATTTCAGGTATTTCATTTTCAATATTAAAATTCATAGAAATCTAGCATTTTTTTTAAAAAAGTGCTTTTTAAAAGAGTGGGATAGAGATATACTTGTCCTTCTTGATTCCCAGGTTTAGATAAACCAATCTACTGCTATATTCTCTTGCCCAATTATAATACTGATATCAATGAGGCAGGTGAAGGGGACATAATTGGATAAGAATCTGTTAAGCTATTTATAACAATGGGGGGAATTTTTAAATTTTTTTGTATTCTTTGGTCCTTCAAAATAAGACAGACAGAGTAGGTTGTGGCATGCATGTAAATAGCCGGCTTCACACACAAATTTCTTTTTCACATTCCACCAGCAATTTGCCAATGGAGTTGGGGATAGGAATTGGGTAAGCAACAATATTGTACAAGAGTTGTCAGTTCTTGGAAAAAGATTTTGTTTAAAAAAATCTAAATTTAAGTGACACCAAGCGAATGGTGACACACTTCCTAAAGAATTCTGCTGAATTTAATAAAGCTATGGCAATTCAGGATAAATCAGAGCATCCCACAAAGTCAACAATTCACCATGGACAATCACATAGAAAGGCAGAGGAAGCAATAAAACACAATGTTTACAAAAGTAAGTGTTACAAATCAATCACCACTAGAGCATCTGCAAATGGCTGCAATTCTGCATAAACACTATAGACCCGATTCAAAGATTTTATTTCCTATTATTTTTAAATTAGTTACCAAAATAGTTTAGTACATTTCCAGCAGAGTATTATTCCCCATAATTTAAATGTATTGTATCTGTATGTATTTTTTTAAAAAAATGTTCACATATTTTAAACAAACAAGCTTTCTTTAAGACTGAAGCATGTTTCCTGATCACGGAGACCAGGGATGCCTCATGGCACAGACATTCAAAGGCTATAACCAAAAACAACACAGCTACAAGAGTCAGCCAGCAGTGTCTCTCCATACATAAAAAAGCCAATTAAGTGTTTTTTTAAAAAAAAAAATGGAAGAAAACAGATACTAGTACAACATACACATTGAAAAAAGCAGTTTTATCAAACATAAAAGTTAATTAAAAAAAACCTAACCAGAGCTGCACTTTGAGATTATCTGGGAATGCATATTTAACCCCCCAAATATAGAAGGGTGGAATTATGGAAGCAAATCTAATGATGTACTTGAATTACACATGGAAAAACTATCTTGATGGTGAATGGCTGGATCCCTCTTATGAAGACAGAGTTTCCAGTGCTTTTTTAGGTTAGGAAAGAGGGTCAACTACTGCAAACAAAGCAAGACTGGTGAGCAAGGGAGTGAGAGTAAATTCTAAATATTACACTTTTACACATTAAACAACTCCCAGTGCAAAGTGGCAGATTAGAGTCCTTCTAGAGTGGACTGTTGCTTTTCATCGACTGGAAGCTGTTGCGCTGAGTAAGAACAAACTGTAGTGAGAACTCTATCACTCAGGGACAGTAGGACAACACATTCACTGGATACAAATTTTAAAAATGAAATATTCAAAACCATAAATTTCATTGAAAGTCAGTTGGATTTAGGCCCCAATATCATTTTTTTAGAACTTAACACACATAATCAAACTATCAACATAATCAGTGAGTTGACACTCCATTGTAAAACACTCTGGGGAGAGTGCACATGGATTCTCAAAGGAAGTGATTCGCTGATGCTGCACTCTGAAGCACATTGGCTAGGAAGCAAGTTCTAGTGAGTTCAGTTGGGCTAAGTTCTGTGTAAACATGCTTAGAATTACTCCGCATTTTTTTAAATCCGATTTTTAATAAGATCTGCTTAGAGCCTGGACATTTAACTCAAGCTGGCCCACAAAAGCATGAGAAATAAATGGCTATTCCTGCAAACCCAGCTGATTGTTGCCTGGGTCTCAAGACACTTACTCATGACAGTTAGTTACTGTCCATCTGTTTTAAACAAGCCAAACTTATGTATTCCCCTGGACCGGGTGCACTGCATCCAGAAAGTGGATAATAAGAGTGGTTATTTCAATCCAGGACAAAAGATTGCCCATATTGTCTGATTTAGGTATTTGTCTAATAAGTCCACGACAAGGAACATGCTTAGAGATTCAGACATTTTAGTCATTTGGCGATGATATACACTGTCTTCATTGAAGTTGTCTGCTGGCAGGTACCCAGCCAGAAAGAGAATTTGTACTTACCAGGGGAGTTAATGGTGATGCTAAACTAAGGGTAAAAATTAAGAGATACTTTGTGAAGAAAAGCAGAGCAGCAGGAAGGAAAACATTTCTTATTGGCGGTATAAATGCCAAAATAGAAGTGCAGGAGTAAATGCTTCTCTCCTCTCCTCTTTAGAATCATTCTTTGGATTCTCCAAACACAGGGTGTATCCTGTGTAGGCTCAAAAAATATTCCCATCCCCAAGAGAATGGTCACAAGAAGGTGACTAGTGAAACATGGGATTAACATAATTGATCCCTGAAGAACACCTAATGTAGATGCTCAAGGAAAGCTTAGAAATTTCAAGGAAATGAGAAAATTTCCTAGTAATAAGGAAAAAGGAATGTATTTTGGAACTGAAGCAGTGTGGTTTCTGAGCATAACTTTCCCTTCTCTTTCTCTTACATGTGGTGAAATGTGGCCCTTGTGATATTCATGATAATTCTATCATAAGAAAGTGGATTAAGAGCTTTAATTCCTAAACAGCTAACTAATCTCAAAGGAGGATATTGTGACATCTCACATTCTTCATCAATTTTCATTCTGCACTGTTACATTCACCACTTCTAGCTATTTATGTTCAGTGTGAAACATTTTGAGAAGTTACATCCTGCGACCAAATTCATACAAGGGCTTCTAAGTGTTTGCAAAACTGTCTTTTTTCTGTATTTTACCATAATTCTGTATTTTAGCAGAAATTACTAGTTTAGGGAATCCAAGTTTCGTTCAGTTTGCAACTCTAACAAAAGTCATCAGCTATGCTATGTAAACCTTATCAGACGTTTTCTTGTATTAAATGTGGATAAAGATAGGAAAAGAAATCACTTTGCCTTATGACAGGCAGATAAAAATACATCTTCTCTACGGCATTCTGCCCATGTTTGTGTTGGTGACCACTTATCCTAAGTTAACAATATGAAGTGCTGCACAGTTCAGGAAAGGTGATTTTGTGCTGCAAATCTGCATCTTCCCCATTTCTGAATGCACAAAGGGCCATTGGTTGCTTTTAGCTACAACGCTTGTGACAGCACCATTCATAGATAAGAATAATAAAGGAAATGTGTTGATTTGTTTCTTCCTACTGGCAAGAAATACCAAGTATTCAATACTAAACAAGTTAGATTACTCAGCCAAGCATAGCCCACTATGTATTGCCATCTGTAATCTGTTTTTTTTTTAAACTAAAATGCTCAATTTCTGCAGGGAGATAAAAATCTAGGAAATTTAATGGATTGTAATTTGTTTGATGAGTTATAAAGTTCTCTTAGACAGACCAAAAAGACTCTAAGTGGCTCCATTATCAAAGCCTGATTCTGAAACTCTTCTCCATTTCCATGATAATGCAGATTACAAATCTAAACTTTTTCTTTACAAGGTCCCACTCAAAAGTGCTACTGAAGTTTCTCAAAGTCTTACTGCAGAGTAATGCTGATGAAAAAAAGTATGTTAACATTGGCCTCACCTCTACAGTGTGTTTTGTGTTTTTATTCCTTGGACAGAATTAAAGAAGTATGCAAAATGATTTTCAAAAAAGGAACTTTTGGTTTTCCAAGAGACAAGTCAAGAAACTTTCACAATACTGGAGGCCACAAGAATGCTGAATCATTGAGGCTCATAAGCAGGGATTACTGACCAGCACGGGTAAGGGTAAGATTATTATGGCTGCATAAAGCCTGTGAAAGAAGTGTTTCAGAAAGCACACAGCATGAAGAAAGCATCACTCTTTCTAATTGTTAAAACAAATTATCCTTTTGCAAGATTTACCCAGCAGCCTTGAAAGCCATTCCTGGAGTGAACATTGCAAAAGATACAGCTGCTTTAGCAATTTAAAGAAAGATGTCTTGCCTTTTTGTGCATTGCAAAAGAGTTGCTTCAAAGGCTTTGCACACCTGTAATGGTTGTGATACAAATAAAAATGCTAAATACTATAGTATGAAAGAAGGAAATGAATTGAAAATTTATTTCTATCTTTTCTCTTCCCCCAAAACCCAATCCTTAGCTTGGAAATCACTTGCAAACTCTCTTCATCCTCCCTCTAAATATCTCTCCAGAAAAGGCTAAAAAAAGATTACTTCCTAATTAAAAAAGGGAGGGAGGAGAAACAGATTTTGCAAATGGCCCTTTGATCTATATTTAAAAAACTGCTCTAAAAGTCCCTAATGTGTTAGAATTAATGGGACTGCATGGGTTGGGAGCAGGGATCCTTTAAATGGGAGATGCAAAGTATTAAAAAAGTGCTCTGCAACTAATATTTTGTTTTTATGTGTGTGTGTGCATACGTACATATATACACACACATTCACACACAGATATATATATATATATAGACATATATATGTATATATATATATGTATATATATATATATATAATATATATGTCTGAAAAAGTTTAAAAATTCTATGTGATATGCTAAACAAATGTCCTAGTACAGTCACGACTGGAGAGCATGTGGCCTGTTGGGATGGCAGATGGGACATTCACCCTCCTCGGCACATGTTTCACACAGCACAGTGTGTTGGCACGGTAGTACCACCCGGTTCTCTTCCTGGCACTTGAGGCATTTCACCGACTGCAACTGAAACACTGCCTGAAAAGAGAAGAAGTGGGGTGGGAGATAGGAGAAACAAGGGGGATTGTTAGTAAAACAGAATGGCCCTCAGGGACAACTGTTTTATCTTCAATAAGCAACTACTGAAGGAGCCAGAGATAGTCCAAGGGGCTGGGGGAGGGGGTTTCAAAAGAGAAAGGCATTTCCCAAAGGTGCTTTTTCAAGAGGCAACTGGACTTTCTGGTTTTCAGCTCTGAAGCTGAAGAAGCTTCTTGGATGAGAAGCAAAACATCTTCAAAGAAAATCCAGAAAGCCCAGTTGCCTCTTGAAAAAGCACCTTTGGGACAACCATGACCTGGATGACTGAGAATCTCCATAGACAGAAGGACTATTTCATTAGCTCAGTTTTCTATGTAACAATCCAGTCTTCTGTTCCTCTAACTCGGGGGTGTCAAACTTGCGTCGTCACAGCATCATCATGTGACGTATCGGGACTTTCCCCCCTCTTTGCTAAACCGGGCAGGGGTGGGGCAAGCATGTGACGCATCCGGGCCATACCCCTACTCTAACTGGTGTAGGTAACTTTCTTCTTCTCTATTCTCTTTCCAGAATTTATTTTGCAGCTCAGCAGAGCTGTCAAATAAATGGTCTCCCTTGATATACTAACCCCTTGATCCAGGAAACTATTAGATGAAAAATGGCCTGGTCTGCAACCATAAAGAATATTGGGTGGGTGGGTGGGGAGGGAAATCCATTGCCTACATCCAACTTTGGCACTCCCTAGCAACCCCTAAAATATGGTAACAATTGCTGGGTTTGGATGATATAGTTTTTGCTTGATTTGGGGAACTTTCTGCTGTCTAAGTAAAAATGGGAATATAAGCACCCTTCCCCTCCAAGGTTAAAGGTCACTACTGAAAAGCCACTAGCAGCTTGGGAGACTGAGTTACTACTCCATAATGTAGAATAGATTACCAACTACTGCCAAGAATAAAAGCAGACTGAAAGACGCTTTTTATTTGACAGATGACTGAATTCATCCTCATCCTCCTCAACTTCAAACAAAATAAACTAAAGGCTGAGGGGAAGCCTATGCAAAGAAAATGTATACTGTACCTTTTGACTATTTACAGTTTGGGGTGAAAGAGGTCCATAATTTTTCCCATGATTTTCCTACAATATTTGCACTAACTAGACACTACACATTACTAAAATATAATATAAGACCAGAACACGGAGAATTTTTTTGTAAATATATTATTTTTTTAAGACTATTATGACAAAATTCCCTTTTCCTTGCCTTTAGTCTCTTAAAACAATACCAGAGAAACCAAATAATGCATTGAGATTTTAATCATTGCAGGTAGTCTTTGAGTTATTACCATAATTGAACTGGAATTACATTCTTAAGTTGTTGCAGTTGTAAGTCAAGGCATCATGGGATTGTTCTTTTTACAAAGGTTGTTAAGTGAACACTGTGGTTGTTAAGCAAACCCTGTTGTTATTTAATGAACATGATGATTGTTAAGTGAATCCATTTTCTCCAATAGACATTTTTTGCTGGCACCAAGAAGTCGGAAACCAACAAAAAATGGTGCAAATCATGGTGATGTGACCATGGAATGCTGGAAATGGCATCACGGTGAGCCAGTTGCCAAGTGCCCAAAATGAGGTCATGTAAGCCCAAAAGGCAGTCATGTTGTAACCTGTAATCTGTTACAGGTGGTCCATCATAACTTTGAACAGTAGTTAAATAACCGGTCGTAAATTGAGGAGTACCGGTACTTGAGCCTATTTTCAAGGTAAAAAGCCAGCCTCACTTTGATCTGAAGAGCAACTGCCTAGTATTTCATCATGCCTGAAGAACACGCCCCCCACCAACCCTAACCCCCCACCCCAAAATTCCCTCTTCTGCTGAGAAAGAGCTGCATCCTGATGAAAAATCTTCTGCTATTCCTTCCAGGAAAGATAGGGTCCAACATTTAAACTTCATTGTTTATTTAACTTATTAAAAAATCCCATCGTGAGTTAAATGTGATGTAAAGTTTCCATACCTCCACTTCAAACTCACCTTATCAACTCTTTCTAAATTGGCACGCAACTGTTTTTGGAGATTATAGAGTGTGGACAAGGAGAGATTTTCTAAATCAGAGAATGAGCGCAGGAACTGGGGGTCCTGGCCAGTATGGATCCGCTCGATTTCTTCCTGGAGTTTCTTGACTTGCAGTTCCAAGGTTTCTCTCTGTTCCCGGGCTAACTCACATTCTAGGGTTGCTGTACTTGCACGATCATTAGCTTCCTCTGCTTCTTTTTTCCATGCATCACAGGCCTGTGTATCCAAAGTAAAATAATATTAGTAGCTTCTCTTAATCATTTCATATGACGAAGAATAGCTATTTCTAGCCATTTGCAATTTGGGGTCAGAATTCTTCTATCTCTTGATGACACATCATATGCCTGTCAATTCTGAAATATCCTTTCAAATGCCTTGTACGCAGATCAATTTTCCTATCTGTATGAATTCCTGCAAAACAAACCCATTCAAACATAAACATGATCAGAGAAACACAGGGCGTGTTTCTGAGAAAATCCGCTGAGCAAAATATCAACAAGAGAAGAGGATGCACATTTAAGTCTGCTTTTTCTCTTACAAGTGTAGATGTATGAATTGGTCTAGAGTAGCATGTTGTCCCCACAGCTTGGCCAGCACTTCAAACCACTTTTAAAATAATTACTCCAGTTGTTTCAGCTCACTGGGGGGAGTATAGTGATTGCTCAGAGGCGATCGGCATGCTTTTGTGGACATGCACAGTCACACTTCTCTGTCTGTGGACCAAAAGGGACCCTGAGATTTCCTTAAGACAGACACTTAAAAGTTTAGCATAGCTTTTATGCTGAACAGAAGAGAACAGCAGCAGACAGGCAGCAATTTCTCTAGCCAGTTCAGGGATCAATCAATCCAGCCTAGCAAGAATCAAGGAGTACTTTCACAGTATGTCAGTCATGTGACATTCCATGACGTTTTCCCCCCTTTGCGGAGCTGGTGTGGGTGTGGCCTATGCATGATGCATCTGGCCCACAAGCCTACAGTTTGACACCCCTGCCCTAGGTCAAGAATAGTATTGTAAGTGGCTGCACTACTGCTGCATCAGTGAGATGGGCAGCATAAAAATTTAACAAATAAATAAAAACAAATAGTATATTGGAGAACTGTGAAGGAAAAGAGAATATCATTTTAGAGGTGAAGCACAAGTTAAGCTGCATGAAACCTTTAGGTAGATGAGTCCAAATTCAAATTAGAAAAGGAATACTCATAGAGCAGGTGTTACCAACCCCCCCAGGTTCTGTAACGGGCTGCAGAAGTGGCGGGTGAGCGTGCACGGTGTGCACATCCCCACTTGTGCAAGCAGCAGGCAGGCGTGTGCATGCGTGTTCCATTTGCATGAGCAGCGAGCGTATGTGTCTGATGCTCGCGCAGAACTATCCCTTCTCTCCCACCTGCCGTTCTGCAAAGCTGGAAAGGCTGGGGAACTCTGTCACAGAGGAACTCAAGAATGTTTGGGCTTAGCATCACAATTTGAAATCTACTCCTCTGCATACCTAGGATATCAGTCTTTTTCTTTGTCCATTAGTAAAAAGATCTGTGGGGAACTTACATTACAAAATCAATTATGCCAGCTACTCTCTTAGATCTCAAATTACTCATTACTCTAGGGCTACCATGAATGCTTTAGGAAACCAACCAACCAACCAACCACCCACACAGACACACACACACACCCTGCCAACCACACTACCTGTTTGGCTTGTTTCCAAGAATCTTCCCACTGTTTTATCGTGCTGTTAGCTTCGTCTAATTCTTGCCGCAACCTGGCCAGTTCAGCAGCACCTGGACCTGACAGAAATGCAGGTGAAGTACTGGGTGAAAAACTTCCTGAAGCAAAATGCTCCCATATGCTGCTGTTCATTCCATTTAAACCTGTTTCGTGTGGAGACAAGAAAAGCATGTTATTTCACATTTTTTTTCTTGTCCCAAACTATTTTTTTGAAAACTAGAATAAAATGCTGCCATTATTTTTTACTGGGCAATACTGCATCTGAAAACCGTTTGGGAGGGATATGCATGTATGTGCACTGTCAGTCTGCCACTTCAGCGTTAGCAAAAAGAGTGGCAGCTGACTATCTTGTGCCAACGATGCCCAGAAGCAGTTTCGTAGTACACTTAATCCACAAATGCAGTGTAGATAGATACAGGATGAATTACCTAGTGCAGATTCACACAGAGCACATGAGGAACGAATATACCATAAACTCTCGGTAAAGGCTTAGGCTTCAGGGAACAGCAATCAGCGCACAGATGCTTAAGAACAAAATGAAACAGTCACCCATTATTTCATACTTTATTTGTTAATATCTTTAGGACCACATTTGATGCCATATTTAGTTAGATATCTTTAGAATTCTGGCATGATCAAAACCCTGCCCTGCTGTCTTTTTTTACCTGGCCACTCCTGATTGGCTACTCTTGTTAGTGGGAACAGTTAAAGAAACCCTCTGAGACTCATCCATTAAATGCCAATTGAAAATTCTGACTTATTTAGCTCTAAAGAAGCCAGAATCATAACACACAGCAAACTATGATTGATAACTCTGTCTTATTAGGAAAGAAATAAAGAGACCTCAGTTCGCACATTAAGGAAATGAGAGATGGAAGAATTTGAATTTGTTTAGCTGTTCCTGTGGGCAGAAGCCAAGATAAAGTAGCATACAGCTAATTCATGATGCAGCCAGAAGTCTAAAAACTTGGATCTGAATATATGTTGGCACTTATTCAATTTTTCTCTACCCACTTAATTTTGAAAATACACACAACATTCTCTTCCTAGTATTATATATGTTATATCACAGTATCTTTTCTTTTCATTTCAAATACACAATTGTTAACAGACCAAATGTCCATCTGGACATTTCACAGAAAAATTATAATAGAGTATATTAAACTATAGTAATGTTATTTCTGTTTTGTTGTTATTCAGCATCAATCAATTTAAAATAATGTAGAGTGCCCTCAACTAGATCCTCAAATGTTAATTTGAGAAATCTTTTCATCACAACAGATCAATGTATCTTTAGATAAGGCACTGGAATGAGGCACAGAATCTGATATTAAGGGGAAAAGATATACCACCCACTATATAGTATTGAAAGTGTGACTGTAAAAATCCAGTGATACTTCTAAGAGAAAAAGGACTGGCTAATTTGCTCTGCTGAGAGAACATTTATACGGTAAAATTGGTTCATTCTTAAAAATGATATAAAGTAGGCTTCTGGATCTACTCCATTTAAATCACAGCATACAACCATTCCATATCTGGTGGAGATAAACTAATTCTCCTGCTGTCTGCCAGAGATCACACAGAAAAATGGAGTGAAGTGTTTAGTTTTAGAATATAAGGGTGATCCAGCAAGTATGCAGAACAAGGATGGATCTATTTCTTATCAAACATTTGCTCAGATAAGGAAAGATGCTGTAAATCAAATGAGTTTTTGTAGGTATCTCTCTGCTCCAGGCACATGAAAATATTTTTTTTCCACGCAGAATATATAGTTTACTTTCAGTTTAAGTTTGCTGTTCAGCAGCAGTGCTTAAGCTACACTATAAAAAGCATGGCTATAGTCTCGAAATAAATTGACCACACAGAACTGCTAAATTGAAGGCACACAGTATTGCAGAAGAACTCAAAAGCATAAAGAAATATATGCTTATAACAAAATATTTCTTAAAATTCTACATATTTTAGGTCATTCATCATGTTGATTTGCTATCATGTTACTGCTGACACTGTTTTTGTAAGCATGAAAGCTGTTTATGTTTTTGCAGGAACAAAAATTCTAGAGCTAAATTACTCATTGAAGAAAATCTTTCCCTCTGCCTTAGGCAGCCTCTTCGTGAGATGCCTTTTACAGTCCAATCCTTACATGTCAGCTTAGAAATCAGTTCCACTCTAATTAAATGAGGACCTACCTCCAGGTCAATGTGTACACAACTGCAATAAGAATAGCTCATATACTCATTGCTGGAGATCCCTGTATGTATGTGATAACTTTAACTTTAATAAATAAATAAATAACGGATGATGCAAACCGAGCACAGATATATGATATATACGTACGCTCCTTTCAGAGAAAGGAGTTTAATGAACTGGATATAATTACCTTATAGCAAAATCAATCCAGTTGTATTACTGAATAAGGAATCCTGGGAAATGAATGTTTAAGTATTGATTTCAGTGTAATATATTTGTTTAGGACCTTCAATCATATCCTATTCAATCATATTCTTACACAGTGGGGTGCATCGGTCTGTTCTGCAATCATCTCTTACAATCTGCCTGATCTGCCATCCCTAGTTACTAAAGTGTGTCAATTGCACAGTGCTGAAAATCAAAAGTGTTGCAATATATGGAGCAATGAGTTTGTTCAAAGTAAATGATTACAAATGCGACAGACATGTATGACCGAACACGTGAAAACATATGACTTGATTTTAAGGTCTCTTCACCAGCTTTGAAACAACATTCCCGCCTAATTCTTTTATCAATCCTTAATTTCTAGTCAATTCTTAATCTTTTAATTCATATGTCTTACCTATTGTGGAATAAAAATCGGTTATGCTATACAAACATAGAGGACATTAGATAAATATTGGTTTGCAGATGTAAAACATTAGCCTAATTTAGCAAACTGAAACCAATAAGCTATCTACAACTCCTTTGTTGATTTCAATGAATGTATTTCACAGCATGACTACCTCGGAATCTGATTGGTTACATATAATGAAAAAGATATGGTTTCCATCAAATCAAACTCAATTCCTGGTGATTATATGGACATGCCTGTGTTGTTTCCTTGGTAACAAAAAAAAACCTGGCTTGTTATTGTTTTCTTCTGGGATGTTTCTTCAATTTCTCAGTCTAATGTACATAATATATATAATAGAATAGAAGCAGCACATTGCTTAAATTTGCGAAACACGCTAGTTATTAGTACTTCCTTCATTAAACACAAAATGTGACCCAAGGCCTCATTTTAATGCTAGAGTTCAATGTTAGAACATCTGATCAAATAATGAATGCTTTTATGCCTACTGTTGTAAGATTCACACAAAAATAAGGCAGATGCTGCTTTAAAATTGACATCTAAAGAGAAATATTTTCAGGTGCTGTCAGAATATTTGTTTATAGGAATCATATTTGTAAGTGAAAGCAGTGTAGGTATGACAAGTTTATTCTGTGTGAATTAAAACTGATAACTAATGACATTTCATATTCATACAGTTGTTATAAATTATTAATAGACATATCAGTAACCAGTTTTGCCCTGTTTGGGACTCATTAAATGAATATTGCAACAGATCTTCCTAAAGAGTTCAAACCCTCAGTCAAGAATTGAAAAATGGAATTCAGGGGAATTGAACTGCTGTTCACATGGTTACTGAACTTCTACATTCAGTCTATTGAATGGGTCTACTTGCATATTTGAGATTGAATTTGCTGCAATCTGAAATCACCTATCCAAACTAAATCAGATGTGAGTTCAAGGTTCAGCCTTCCCTCTGAAATCCATGCACAATTAGTAATTATTCTTTGTTATTAAGTCTTCAACGGTACAGGTCATACTCGACTTTCGACCACATGGGGACCAGAATTTCGGTTGCTAAGCAAGGCAGTTGTCAAGTGAGTCTTCATGGCCTTTTTGGTATGAGTGTTAAATGAAACACAGCAGTTGTTATGTGAATCATGACATCGTTTAAGTGAATCCAGCTTCCCCCTGTGACTTTGCTTCAGAGAAGCCAACTGGGGAGATTGCAATGGCAATCACACAACCCTGGGACAATGCAGTCATCATAGAACATGCCAGTTGCCAAGTGCCCAAATTTTGATCATGTGATGCTGCAATGGTTTTAAGTATGTAAACTGCTTGTAAGTCACTTTTTTCGGTGCCGTTGTAGCTTTGAACGCATGTTAAATGAATTGTTGTTAAGTCGAGGACTATCTGTACTGGATTTATTTGATTCATTCTTTGTCTGCAACGTAGTCCCGTTCAAAAAAGTTAAATCCTATCACTGACCTTAGATCTAATGACTCTTGTCTAATTTTACAGAAACTGGGCAATACATCATGTTAGATGGCAACAAAAATGTGAACATTCAAATGAAAGTTAATTTAAAAAAAAAAAAGGAAAATACTTACATGGCATAGACAGTGAACATGTTAACAGATATACTCTCATGCTTACATTGGGCATTTACCTAATGATCCATGAGAAGCTGATGTCCCCAGGAAAGTATTTTCTGATTGGCTTAAGTGTCCCTGGGACTGATGGAGGAAATGCGATGATAAGCTGACCGGTGGAGAAGGAGAGGCAGAGTGAAAGGAGGCAGAACTTCCAAGGGACCCAGGGATATTTACAGGAGCAGAACTTTGCAGCAAACTCCCACCTGAACAAAGAACACACAGAAAGTATGGGAATGTGGAAGCCATGAACTATGAGTGGAAGCACAGCACAGGAATTTGAACAGCAGGTGTTTGCTTCACTCTCTGCACCAGTAAAAGGATGGGTGAATCCAGAATATTCCTCTAATCTATACCTTTCTATACCTTCAGAGCTGGTATTGTAAAAATTGTCCCTACGGCCAAGGAAGGTTAAAAAGTAAACTAATGAATGTTAGCTGCAAAACACTGGGAGTCAGGGTTAGGGTTAGAGTTAAGAATCAGAAGTTTTCCAGTACACAAAAGAAAGCTTACAATCTAAAGAGATATTTAGATAGCTGATTTTCAATTCTTGTAGCTCCGTAATAACGCTATTTATACACATATTTAAATTAATTTTCTACTATCCCCATTATTTAATAGTTCAAGAGACTACATTTTTATGACAACTATAGTATCTAGTAATGATTATATCATGATTATATATCACAATTAGAATATAATTATGATTTATGCTTTTTTTAAAGAACGGGAAAATAGGTGTTTGTCAAATCATATAAATTAAGAAGTACATTTTTCAAGGACAGTCATTTGAATTACATGGCATCTCTACTTTTTATAGATCATGCCAAAGATATTCTTGCAAACTGAACCTCCCATTCCATCATAAGGATAAAAGTTTGTTAAGAGATAGCAAATGGGACAGACTTCTGTATTCAGGCACTGTGCCGAAGGGAAAAAAAACGGAGCTTAATTTCTACATGCAGAAACACACTCATAAGATGTTCTAGCAGAAGAGATCAGTAAACTGGTAGCATAGCAATTATTTATGCTTCATCTCCAGGAATGGGAGCAGGGTAAATCACCTTCCCATTTGGCTAGAGGAGTCCCAGTTGCATGGCACAGAAAAGAAATCAAACTCACTAGCCCATGAAAGTTGTTAGTATTGCAAGAATAATTTTTTTCTCAGTTTTAATAATGCTTGAGGACACATAGCACTGCCTGCAAAAGCTTCAAAACTAAAGGGACTCCTATGTGGCGCAGAACTTCCCACCCTCCTTTTACCCTAAAAGTTGCAACTGTAGACCAACCAATTTGTTCTTCTGGCTACGGTATATGAGATGGCTTGCAAGGCAACAAAGTTTTCCGATAATCTGAAAAACCAACTTCTCACTCATATATATGAAACCAAAGAGGATGCTGCTTGCAGGAATAAGGCCTAACTCTAAAGGAAAAACAACAAGGGACCATATTCTCCCTATTTATTTCCAAACTGATCTTAGCCCAAATCAATATGGGCACAGTATCGCTGCCAAGTGGTTTGATGTTGAATACTATCTCCTCAAAGTAGAACCATTTTTTGAGAAAACAGAACATATACTGGGCACATGACAGGCGAATTCTAATTTGCAGAACTACTCAAATCTGAAGCACAGGACAGGATATGCTGAAATAAGGACAGGATATGCTGAAATAAAACTATGTGTTGATGAAAAGACAGTTGCAAACTCTTTTGCAATTTAAAAAAAAAAATCTGATACCAAAGTGGTTTTAAGCTAAGGGATGTGCCTTAAAAAAAGTGTAGTGGCAGCAGTGAGCCAGAAGGCACTTACCGATTTGCACATAGTTTCGGTTCACAAAGAAATGTTTTGTCAATTACTAATGGGATTTGTACACTTAGAACATAGCAAGGTTGCATAGACTATATTCACTTGAAAACCAGACATGGAGCAAAAAATAAATAAAAAAGACACTGGTTTGAAATGACCACATACAAGGGATGAGATACACAAGCGGTAGTTTGTCAATGTGTGGCGACATGCCTTGCCATGATCCTGTGACAGCAGAACAGTGATACCAATCCAATTTGTTTCCTACTATTTAAACCAATTCCCCCCCCCCTTCCATGATAGTCTTGTGTCAGAATTTTGTGAACATGTTTAGTGTGCCACTGTTAAGATATTGTAAAGCAAAATAAGCCATGCCTATTTCGTAAACGTAATTGGGACATCAGAAACCAGTGAAAGATATTTCCAATTTGCTAACCAATGAGGGTCCTTTGGCTCTAAGGTCCCGCATTGGCCTTTAACCAGTATGTCATGTAAGGGCTGGTTCTGAGAGCTTGCTAGGCTGCTTCAGCCAGCTGATGGGGCAAACCCTGCTTGGCAGAAGATCAAAGAAAGCTCTGTTGCTTTCATGTACCTATCATGATGCCACTCGTGTGGGGCACCGAGCTGCTGTCAAATGTCTTCTCCAGGGCAGCCACTCCGAATTCGTTCAGGTCCAGGTCATCCAAGGCAGACTCTGCCAGACAGAGGCACCAATTATATATTACAAAAAGGACCAACAAGGGAAAGGGAAGTCCAAAGAGTTTACAAAGAGATGTCACTGCTCTGGACCGGAGAATCTACAATGCAAGGCTGCCATTAGTCGTTTAAATGATTCAGCTTTCAATATTGTCTTTCTATTGCCTGATCTGAGTCCGAAGTCTCTTCAGTATCAAGCTGATCCCATAGATTGACACTGGAAACAACAGCAATGCAAAACAGATCTCCCTGCACACCTGCTGTACAGCTTGACCTTGGGTAGAAGTACATCCAGGGTTGGCTTTAATAACAGGTGCCCGTCCCAGTCACCTGGCAACCTAGGTGTCCATGATGCATAATGATTGGAATTCGCTAATCCTATACTTAGGAATTCCACCGTGGAGAGCAACTTGGATTGCAATTAATGATAGAGGAGATGGCAATAGGAATGAGGTGCAAGTATGGTAGTGGAAAGAAGGAAGTGTGTATGGCAGTAATATAAGAGGTTGTGTGTAGGTGGGGGGGAGGGGAAATGAATTAGCATATCCTATGAAACAGGCTATAGCTAGCAGTGGCCCAATAATGAGCCAGCCATGTAGCACGGACACTGCCAGTTGGGGATGAGATGGAGCAAACCTGCACAGGATCATCCCTGGGGGTATTCCTAGCCAATGTATTATGTCTTGTCAAATGTTGTCTTATAAAGCATAGCATGGGTTGTGCTATATGCATGACATTCTTGTCATTTCAAAAAGATAAAGGCTACAATACAAATAATAAACAATTTTAGATACTGAAAATGGATGTTCCCCTCCCTCACCCTCCTGCATAGTTTATATTCAGTTTTAAAGTACTGCCTGGAAGGTTACTTCTAGAGCATTTAGAAAGCACATAAAAGGGTTTCAGATTTCCTCAGCAATTTCCTATTAGAAAGTGTAAGAAGGTCCCTGTCTAGAATTAAGAAACATATTCCCCACCAGATCCCTCGTAAGTGTTTTAATTTAGTGGCAAGAGTTGTCTCTTTTATTTGTATCATTCCAGGCCTGTAATAGAACATCAACAGTTAATAAAAATGATAATAAGTTACCTGGAGAATAAGAGACATGTATCAACCAATGCTAAATATCAATAATAATAATAATAATAGTCAATTGCAAAAGGCAGCTTTACTTGGAACAGAATATATCCTGCGACGATATCTTTAATATCATTAAACAATACTTGTCTCTCCCAGGTCCTTGGGAAGGACTCAGTGGACAAAAATGCCAAATCCAGTTTAAAAATCTGGTTGACTGTGCAATCAACCATAAAAATAATAATAATAATAATACATTTAAAAATGAGAAATGGTAATCCTTGTACAATCTGCACTCTTACTCTTCTTGGAAAGTCTTAGAAATGTAAATATGATAACATATGAACCCTTAAACAGAAATGTAAGTAAAATCTTTTTTAAAATCTGCACTTGAAATGTTTTGTTATTGCTGTCATAAATGGAAAAGTTTCATCTTTTAAAAATATTTATAAAAACAGCTGCTCAGTAACAGATTATATATGTCACAGGACTGAATTTTTAGTGGATTGGCCCACACAATGGCACACTGAGCCAATTTGGTGACTTATGAGTTCAGGAAATATAGGATATGATGAAAAAACATCAAACAAGATCTACACACACATATACACAGAGATTTAGGAGCAATCATGATCTTTCACTGACCATCCTGTCACATTGTCTGCTCTAGCAAAAACAGCAGAGCTGTGTCACAATCCAATAAGTTTATTGTTGTATAAAATCTTATTCCACAATAAATTTATTAGCCTTTTAAAAGATAAAGGACTGCGTGTAGTTTTTGCCATTTTTTTTTTTACAGAATTCAGCTATGGGACCTGTTATGTAAGATTGTTCTATAATTTAATTTATGAAATATGAAAGAGTTCATACTAAATATAAGTCATCAGCCAAGTCACAAAGCAATAAAGCATAGTTTCTACTGTAAGTCCTCTAAATAAAACAATCGAAGCCTTCCCACCCATAACGGATATGCTTCTTCTGGATTCCCTGCACCATCAATGTGCATAGGCAGTATTACCTATCACGGACTCCACAGTGTCACTAGTTGGGTAGAAAGGAAGGGCATTGGCATTCATGCCTGGTACACTGCTGGTGCCTGCTGGGCTTGGTGGTGTTGCTGCCAAACTAGAAGTAATGCTAGAGGAGATGCTAGATGTCAGTGGGCTGCCAACTGGAAGAATCCCTAATATATCCTGAAAGAGGAAAATAAATTCATTGTATTGATGTATTGAAAATACATTCATGTATTCCTATGATGCAACAGAATATTCAGAGAGAAGTAATGATATACTTGTCATAAAGTAAGTATTTCTGCCTAACATTTATATCTTATCTTTTAATTCTAAGGTGCACTCAGGGCAGCTGATTGGTTCTTAGTATTTAATACAACACAATACAATAAAGGAAAACTGTTTGGGATTCTTTTAGAACAGAGTAACAGAATAATGGAGTTGGAAGGGACCTTGGAGGTCATCTAATCCAACCTCCTGTTCAATCAGGAAACCATATAACATTTCAAATGGTGGTCCAATCTTTCACTAAAAACCTCCAGTGTCGGAGCACCCACAAATTTTAGAAGCAAGTCGTTTCACTGATTAATTGTTATTCAGTTCATGTATATTGTTAGCTGCATCATACCATCAAGTTATATAATTCATGAAGACTGTATAATCTTGCCATTCCAAATTCAAAGGAGGCCTAAACTAAAGATTTGTGAACTGCAGCGAACCTTCCTCCAATAATCTATCTAGTCCAAGCAGTATTCAAAATTCTGAGTTCATAATTATCTATTCACACCAACTTCATTTTTTTTTTTAATCTGAAAGAAACTAGACTGATTCTCAAACACTTAGGAAAGTGTCAATATCCTTTCAACTCCAATTAGCTTTTCACATATATCACCAACTGAAATCTACACATGAGACTATATGGGCCTTTAGAAACTAAGCAGCATCCCCTGGAGTAACATACCTGCTTGGGTTGTAACAGAGGTTGTTCTTGGGTTCTATGTTCCATGGAATGGGATTTGATTTTTGCCTGCTGCAGTAATTAGAAGGGGGGAAAAGACATTACATACCACTGAAATTGTCAACTTCTTCAGATGTTTACAGCACTTCTTCTCTTATTTTGTTACTTTCTGTAAACTACAAAGGAAAGGGCCAGAGGAATTCCTGACACTAGCAAACAAAACATATTGTACTCATATTTTCTCTTTTCTTTAACATCTACTTTTAAAAAACTAGAAGAGATAAATGATAGCGAAATACATGGGGATAACAAATGGAAGGCAATGTTGTTTATATAGATTTAAAAAGTTCTGTGAAGGGGAAGGAAAATCTGGATAGGCTATGCCTAAAGATACAAATTACTTTAGAAACAGTATGATTAACTTCATAATACAGGATAATAGTACTGTATTATCAGTGAAATGGGCTTGAATTATGGCCATAATTGTTGAAGAAAAAAAGGAATCCCCCCCCCATTGGTCATTAAATGAGGCAGTCAGTTAGCAAGAACTATTCTGAATAAATTCTCATTTGCTTATCTAAAAGATGAATTTATATTTGCATAACTTTTATTTTGGTCTATTTTATGAATCATTTCTGAAGCTTCCAAGTCTAACTGACATTAAATAGAACAAATATGTTTATTCTGAATGTCCTTTCCCAGACTTCCAATTCTTTTGAGATTTGTTTTTCTTTAAAATACAAAACCTTTCCAGCAATGTCATTATCTCTTGCTCAAAAGCCTCTTCATACTTCCTTGCGTTTACATAAGTTCTCGTGACCTGCACCTCTTAGATTCCCGCAATACTATATAGCAGAGGTCCCCAACTCCAGGTCCATGGATTGGTCCCGGGCCACAGCATGCCAGAAACCAGTCTGCACAAACAAGGTAAGCCCCATCCATGGGATGCAGATAGCACATGAAACCACGCCGACTCCAGTCCACAGAAAAACCTCTGTCCACAGAACCGGTCCCTGGTGCCCAAAAGATTGGGGACTACTGCTATAGAGAGATCCATGACAGGAAGTTTGCAACAATTATGTATGCATTACTTGCCTGCATATCAGCCCTAAAACCAATTCACATAAGTTAGTACTCTTATAATAACCACCATTACAGAGACAGGGAGGTATTTGCCACGCCACTTTCTCCTTTTTTTCTGAATGCCTGGGACCACTTCAAAGGAATGCATGCCTTTCAATTCATTCATCATAGTCAGTTTTTAACAATGATGCTACTAGGCTCACGTGGCATATAAGGGTTTTCTGCTTATGGAATACAAAAGGTATTCCAAGGAAGTAAAAAGCATACTGCAAGGCATCTCTTCATTTTGCAGTGCATCCAAGTTGCAATAGAAAAAAAACTAATATTAATGTAGTTTTATAAAATTAGGATGAACAGGCAGATTCTAAGGGTTTATCTGCAGATATTAAGGCACTCACAGGTACTACAAATCTAGCATGAAGTATTAACAATTGGTTCCAGAACTAATATATATCATTAATGAAAACAATATATTATATATCATACATACATATATACATACATACATACATACATACATACATACATACATAAATACATACATACAATATCTTTTTCTAGTATTTTATACCTACCTGGCATTTGAAATTTTTTAGATACTCTGCTCCAACCAGGTCTTCCCGTTCAAATCCGGGTGCCTTTTTATAGCTACTTGCACTAGTTACTGAATCTGTGGGGAAACCAATGCTTTCCAAACTATGGGGTTTTCCAATTGCACCAGGAGGGGATCCACATAAATTAGATGGGCTTCCAAGACTGCTATTTCTACAGAGGATCTAACAGGAGCAGGAAGAAAAGAAGATAATTTGTGTATCAGATTATAACACTCTCTACCTCTGTATCACAGCTGATAGTAAACTTCTAAAAGCTAAACTGTTAAATTCAATCAGGTTACTGAGATATACAAAGATATACAATTTAATAGAAGTCTAAATAATTACATTTTGCCTCAGTTCTTAGAAATATTGAGCATTTTTTCATCAAAGCCATATTTTTAAAGATGAGAATATCTTCACTGCAACTTTGATTGTTCTCTGTAGTTCATATGCTTTAACAGCTTTCTGCGACTCTGAGAGATCCAGATACCGCATGAACTGCCACAGTCTCAATAGATCATATGAATTTCTAATGCAAAATCAAGTACATTTCTTACTGAAAATTGATGTTTTCATATTTAAAATGGTTTGGAATTCTCACAGTGGAAGAAGTAAAACCATGAAATATGTTCTGCTTCTGCTTCAGAAAACAGGCAATTTGGAGATGCTTATCACAATAATGGAGGGAATATGTTCCCCAGTTCAAAATAATGCTTCTTTCCCTAGAGAGAATACTTACTGTAGCAGAAGTAGGGCTAGTTGGTAGCGTTCCTGGTTTATTCCATACCTACAGTACAAAGATAAACGAAACACATCATGTGACATGGACTACAGATTTCTAGGAGACACACAGGTTCACTCACTTGGGCATATTTTTAATTAAAATCAGCTTTATTCTTTCTGTCAGCTATATTACATATGTAGTATGTGTCACGGTATGATACAAATTTGGACTGGGATACGTGTAAGATCTCATGCAGTATTATAATCTACTCTTCAAAAGCATCCAAGGTGAAAAGTTATGCTAGGTAATAGCAATTCCACTTCTAAAAATTGTTTGGATCAGTTCAATTGAAAAGTGGCAAGATTCTGTGGAGGAATAACTAGAACTAACTAACATAATTTGTGCAATTTAAATGTTACAAAGATGCTGAGCTAGCTCTGAACCAGTAATTTATCTAGGACAGGTGTATCTAACCTGTGGGCCACAAGCCACACGTAGCCCTACACAGCTAATAATGTGACCCCCTCAAACTCATAAACTTTTAACATTATTATGTGTTATTTATATACATCCACTATATTATACATTTTATCTGCACCTCCAAAATAATTCCTCTTCACTCAGTGTGGCCCAGGCAAGCTGAAAGGTTGGACACCCAAGATGTAGAAGCAGTTGCCATTATTCACAAACATAAACTCAAGCTTTTGGGATCAAAAAGTGTCAGCAATGTTCTTTCAGAAAGAGCTTATATTTAGAGAGAACTGCAGTGTCACATGCTCAGTGAGGAATTTTGTAACAATTTTACATACATTGCTAAGGTCTGGGGCTTGTGGACTAGAAGGGCTGACAGGAACAGAATCGCCTGCTGCTGAGGGCATGTACATTACAGGGCCAGCTTGCGTTGGGCTAGAGACAGCCGACGTTGGCTGTAAATCTTCACTAAGTGGAGGTTCTATAGGAAACAGAACAAAACAAACCACGTGATAAATAGTTACAAAATGGGGTTCACAACAACTCTATAAGAGCAAAGGGTAAACAGCAATGCCTGGCACCCCTTCTAAAGGGCTGATCTTCCACACGCAGCAATCTACAAACCACTACAGAAAAAACAAAAAGGCATCACAAGACTAAGGCAGAGAATGTAACGTCTTCCTTTTTTTCTATAAGAAGAACAGTTACATATTCATAGTAGTTGTTTCAATTAGGCTTTATGCTGCCCTAGTTTATTACACTTATGATTATTTATTCAATGTATATTCCACCTTTCTCCCTAAAGGGGCTTCAAGACAACTAACAATAAAATATAAACATTTTAAATAACTGAATCATACTGGAAAGGTCTGGCTGAAATTCCTTTCATATCGCCTGAAAAGACCTAAAAGTAACTCTAATGTAAAAGCAGGTTCATATTGAAATAAAAAAATGTAATCAACCCCCAAACTATGTATGTTTTCAAAAATTAAAAATGCTTTTGTTTATGATTGAAAAATAACTGATCTTTCAACGTGGACATAATATGATCACATAATTGTTTACCAGTTAGTAGTCTACTTATTTATTTTTGAGCTTAAAAATAGCCAAACCCTCAAAACACAAGCCCTATCTGCTGTGAGTTCTTTCATGAGATCTTGGCTTTGCATATCCCCATTGTCTATTTGAAAAGGCTGACAATCTTTATCCTATCCTCAATGCAAAAGGTGGACAGGAAGAGGCCTAATCTGAAAAATCATGGATCCAGAATACTTTGAAATTCTGGGATTTGGGGTGTACAAAAAGTGATGCACATTTAGGAGTGAAAAAATCACCCCTGTCTATGATGGCAACTAGGGGTTCAGGGAATGATCTCTTGAAGGTTTGTGCTTCTGTTCCAACTTTTTCTGACTCAAGTGATTATCCTTGTTAAAAAGTGAAAATAGACAATAAAAACGGATGACTGAATCATAACATCTGGATGCTCTAGGCATTTCCAAAAGCAATTGTAGATATCTTCATTGTTGGGAAGCAGTCAGTATCAAAAGCTTTAAAATTGTTTGCATTTTTTCCTTCACCGTGCCCTTGTTTCATAATTGAAGGAAGAGCATGAGAAACAATATAGTAAAAAACAACAACACTTGTTCCTTTTTGTTCCCCAGAATTAAATCATACCAATAGCAAATTACAACTTCAAAATAAATAGTACACAGTATCATTCACAGTATCCTTAAATAGCCACTGGGTGTCACTTCTGCTTTGAGAACAAAGCGCAGAGCTATCAACCATCTGATGACTGAAGACTACCTTGTAAAAAAAATGCAGTCTCAAATAAAATTCACTACATATTATTTTTAGGTCCCCCCATATAACTAATTATGGGGAAGAAGGAAGTTTGGTTGCTTAGAATTGTACTTGCCTTGTTTAATACAGTAAGCAATGTTGTACTCTAAACAACACTCAGGACAACACTCAGTAGACAGAATATTGCTACATCAAGAGAAGACCACCTACGTTCTACATGTGCGAAGGCACAGAAGGGTCCCCTGGGACAGCTGCCAGATTGCTGCATATCGTTACATTTTGTGGATTTGTAGATCTGGGAAAAATAAAAAAACAAAAAAGAAAGTTGGGACAAGATGAAGCTGCTCAAACTCAGCTGCTTGCAATGGATTTAGAAAGAGATCAATGTATTAAGAAGTACGATAAAAAGTTCGATGTTTCGGATATGCTTTATATGTAGACTGCATAAGTCTTTGGAGACCGAGGCTATGCTGGGTCTTTGAGTAGCATACTGGGATGGGCAGCATTCCAAAAAACAAAGCACAAAATAGGCAGATCTAAAATAAATAAAATTTTAATTTAATATAATTTAATTAACTCGATCGCTTAGATATGGATAATATATGTTTCCTGCCTGTCATTCCAAAAAAGAGAGCCAGTAGTGGCGTGATGGTTTAAGGCACTAGGCTAGAAACTGAATGGCTCTAAGTTCTAGTCCTCCCTTAGACATGAAACTAATTGAGTGATCATGGACCAGTCACTCTCACTCAGCTTTAAGAAGCTGGCAATAGCAAACCACTTCTAAACATCTTGCTAGGAAAACTGCAAGGATTTATCCAGGCTGTCTCCAGAAATCAGACTAACTTGAAGGCAAACAACAACAACAACAACCATTCTAAAAATAAAATTTGGAGGACTCTGGTTGACTGAAGGCTGCATATAAACCAGAGCCCCAGCCTATGTTTGAAATTAATATGTATAGAATTATACCTCAGATCTTTAAAGAACTATTTCCAGTGATGCATACATATACATAATATATGGGCTGAATTATAGAATAATCTATGGTTATTTACATAGAACCTCTAAGGGTTTATCCTTAAATATGCATGTAGAACCATAGTGTCAATTATCTTTGCAATTTACTCAAAGATTGTCCCGTCAAATGGAGCTAACCAGGAAGCCTATTTCAGTTTAGGCAATGCATTTTCAGCAAAAGAAGTAATTCAGAAGAAAACTTTTCAATTACATGGAAATCAATCCAGATGTCCTGGATCATTTGCTAGCCACACCCTCCTGGCACTTCCACCATACATGGCTTTGGCATAGTTCCTACATGTCACTATGATCACATGCCATCTTCTTTCCGGGACAGTTGAGCTTATTGTTTTTTGACTCCTTGTGAGACCTTTCACATCCCCAACTTTGTTTTAAATTGCTGGGATTTTGGAAAGCTGTTTTCCCATCAATCTGCCTTGTCCTCAACTTGGAACTCTCTAGTATATTTCAGAAGCACCCTTGCCAGGGAGCCCAATCTTAAATCTTTCTAGTGAATTTCTAAGCAATTTCACAATCTCTAAACAACAGAAAGGCTTGTAAACAGGATGCACTGAACTCATATTTTATATATTATTGAATCTATACATTATATTTCCAAACAAACAATAAAACATGCATGTATAAAACATAAATCTTTTTAAATAAAAACCCAGCTCTTTTTAGGGGGAAGTCATTCCATAGCCTGGGAAGCACACACGAGAAAGCTTTTCCCTGACTGTAAAGCCTCTATATCTTCATGAGGCTACAGAACAGGCTTCACCTCAGAGTCTAGTTTTCTCCTTAACTAAAGAGTTTCCTTATTAAGAGCACCACCATTTTCTGGATTTAACTTCAGCTTGTTCTCTGTCATCCAGTCTGTTATCAAAATGAGCAAACTTCAAAGAGACCAGTTGCATCTTGAAATTAGAAAGTAGGGAGCAATTGAGCAGGTTGCCACAGCTCTCAATGAGTTCCTTCTGAAGTTACATGTAGCTTTAAACAGCACAGGAGGATAAGCCAAGCCCTATGGGCCACTATAAGTCTAGAAGGTCAAACCATAGTCCCCCTGCAGCACTTTCTGACAGGAAGGACCAAAACTGTTGCAAAACAGTGTTCCCAAGGCACAATCTTGCCAGATGGTCAAGTAGAATGCCATGCTTGATGGTATCAAAAGCCACCAAGAAGACAAACCAATGTATTCCCTCAACTAGTTTCTGGTGTAAATCATCCTCCGAGGCAATCGAAACAGTAATTAGCATGAGTATTATATTGTTTATCATCTTCAGTAAATTGTGTAATTGCTGCATTTGTCTATGTAAATGCCCAACAAGGAAGAGTCTTTACCTCTGGGTGAAACTGTTGCTCTGTACGGGTATGACAGTACTGGCATGCATCTCCATTGTCACACTTACTAGGATCTCCCCACTCATCTCCATGTTTCACGCTAGGGCATGGGGAGGATCTTTAGCAATAGGCAGAAAAAGGAACAAATTAGAAAGTCATATAATTTTTGAGCCAAACAGAGTAACTGTATCTACAATATTTATATAGCTTAATTTCTGGCACTGAGTACCTTTACTGTTTGCTAGACTTCCTCAAGAAGGACAAATTGCACTTTATCAAAGAATGCTAAAAGAAATCATTTCTATTTAATTCAAATTGGCCCAAGCCAATATTTATAGATATGTAGTTGGGTTATAGCTGAGCCCTGAAACATCTCTCAAAATAGTGAATTAACTATTTAATATGAAATGCAATCTTCCCACCATGATTGATGTATTTATTACACTGAGATTAGAGTAAAGTTACTATCCAAATGAAGAAAATGTAAAATCTTGGCCCTTTATAACCAGGTTTTGAAGCACTGTACCTGTATTTGTGTTTTCTAGGACTCCTTCTTCTATCTTTGCTATTATGATAATAAGGGCAGGCATAACCTTGGCGACAGAGGCGTGGGGGCTTCTTACACTGTTCTGTTTTGTAGTTTCCCAAAACATACGTTGTGTCTGTAAAAATAAGTATAATTAGTCAATTAAAATCCTAAGCGTACTTACTCCTATACAAAGATGCTTTTTAGAGGATAGACTAATTCTAGTATAATTGTATTCAGTACTGTGTAAAATACCAAGGAACTTACCTTGCCACCTTGGCTCTTCACTGAGTATTTTCTCTATCATAGCATGGCTAGCAGCAACTGCAGACTGACCTTCTATGCCACTTTCTGATGTGGTCTGACCATTCTGCAAAGCTTCCATGGCCTGAAGCTCCCTTGGGGAACATAGATGAATTATAATTATGCAGGTACAGATACTCAAAGGAAAACGTATGTGCCTATTGGCTTTTTTGAAAAAAATATTTCTATATAACATTTAGATTCCTACTAAAAGCTGAGGTAAAAGGTAGCCTAGGAAAATAAACCATCACCACCAAAATTGCAATGGGAAAGGGTGATTTGCAGAGCTTACAGCTCTTAACTGTTTCCTCTGATTTTATTCTCTCCCCTTGGGCATCTCCTCTCCCTCAGATCCCAGATGTCTGTTGGCTGCATCATGGAAGAAGCAGTTGGGTGAGGAGAATGAAAAAAGATTTTTTTCTTTCTCATGCACCTCCAACTGTATTCACAGATGCTTGATGATGACTTGACTTCATTCACACATCTGCCTCAACCAACAGCCCGCGGGGCCACATCCACAAAATGGTGTGCCGTTTGTTGAGTATGTATTCTTACCACGAAGCCTCCATCTCAGTGCCAGCCTCTTGTTCTGGGAAAAAAAGTGATGTTTTCCCATGGAAAACACAGTTCAATTTCCTATGCATGCCTTAGGGCTCTATAGCTCCACGACCATTTTTAGTTTGGCTGGTAAGGGAAAATAAAATAGGCCAAGCAATCAAAGTTGTTTTTCTTTTTAAGGCTCAGGTAGGAACATATTCCATGAAGTTGCTATTCCTACTAACCTCCACTGCTTAGTTTTCCTCCTCTCCAGTATCCAAGAGAAGAGGAAAAACTGGTGACAGTCTCTCTCTTCCAGCAGATGTAAAGACTTGTTGAAAAGGGAAAAAAAATCTAAAGAGACAGGGTTCTTCTGCCCTCCCTGCTCCATTCCCCTTCCCTGCAGTTACTCTTACCTCCATTTTACATTCCAGGATTTCCATTTAGATTTAGCAAGTAAATATCACAAAATTTATTCCCTACCCACCTGATATCATAAACTGGAGAACGTAGGTCATGTGGTCCATGAGCAAAAGCACAATGAAGGCCATTCTTGGTGCAATTTCCTTTTGAATCAGTCTCATGGATGCAGATTCCAGTTTTATAGTAGCGTAGATGGTATCTCCGTTCTGTATCACCAGTAGTTCTATGCAGGAATGGACACCTAAGGAGGAAGGAGAAAAAGAAAGAGCTCGTAGAAACTTAAAATCTCAAACATGCTTTCCAACCAAAAAACAACAACAATCATTTTAGATAAACAGTCATCAGGGTTGGAAAATCCAGCATTTGTTTCCTTCTGAAAATAATTCCACTTGTAAATTAAGGACCTATGTAAGGATTCAATCCTCTAAACAATTATTTTATGATAAATCTCACAAATTTCTCTAGAATTATTCCAAAGCACAAAACTTTGAAACACAGCCTTTCACTTTGAGAGGAATATATATATATTCCTCTCAAAGTTTTTAAAAGCTGAATTTATGAATTTTCTTCTGTTAATATGGACTGGACTTTCCGTCAGGTCAAGTAAAATACAGCCTTGAGTAACTTACTCATCTCCTTCAGGGCAGATCCCTGTGGTCTCATCATATTTGGTGCAGTAAATGTCAGGGCTATAGTTAAAGGTGCCATCCCGACGGCGGATAGATCGGCGACGACGCTGGTTAACAAAGTGCCAGTGGAAGCATGTGTAGGGCCTATGCTGAGTACATTTGTGCTGCACAAACAGGGGACACTGCTCTGTGCGGAATTCCTTCAGGTATCTGCAGAGCGAAAGAGACTGGTTTGAGTTATAGCTGGAAAGCTCAACTGAGCCCCAGCACAGATTCACACCAAATCACTCTCCCTTCTTGTTTTAAGTTGGCATTTAGATATATTCATAAAAAAGCTGGGCAAACATATGGTAGATGTGAATAAATTATTCATTCATTATTCATCAATCAAGACTTCTTCCCCAACACCCATACTTGGTGTTTTTCCATTTGCCTTTTACTTTCCACAAGCAAGCTAGTGAGTTAACATTCAGTTTAATTTTTCCATTCTTGCATTTTGTTTCAGTTGAGTTAAAATTAGATTACCATCTTTGTGGCAGCTATGTGCTATCAAATGGGTATCAGAGCAAAAGAATCAAGAGATAAAGAAAGGGCAGATAGTTTGTAGAAACTTTTTGCATTAATTCCTGACTAATAAATCTACAGTCTAAAGAAATGGGAACTTGCACTATATGAGAAGATTAAGGAAAGGCATCAAGTATTTCTATCAGTTGAAGTTCTCTCTCTCCTTATAATACTCAGGAGTATATTTTGCAGGAACAGAAAAGAAGATGGCAGATCTGGTACTGGAAAATTTACTTTGATACCAGTGTAGAATAGGGCAGCCTGCAAACTGCCTACCCTACCCTAAGTCAAGAACATGAAATGCGATTCAGAAGAAAGCAAGAAGTGTTTTGATTTATTATATATTATATGGAAAGGTAGATTAACTTTTTAAAAATTACATGTTAATGCTAGAAAAGGAAATTTCTGTATCTGCTTTCATATGTTATTTGATACTATTAACTTCTAGGCCTTCCCACTTACAAGCTTGTGCTGCACAAACAGAGGACAGTTTTGCTTAGTTTGAACAGTTAGTTTTGCTGGAAGGCAGTGAGAAAACTATAGAAGTAAGAACTGGTCCAAATAAGGTAGATAACCCTTAGCTTGATGATCCATCTGTTTGATGCCCTCGCTGGGAATCCTACACATTTAGAAGAATACATGTATTTTAGACACAGTTCTATACAATTTTGCTTTGATGTGCATGTGAGCAAGCAAGTGTACTTATGGTATAGGAATACATCTTTGTTTACTCAAAAATATTTGAATTTTCTTAGGAAACCGAGTAGGTTATTTAAAAACAACATGTAAAACAATTGAAGAGGCATTGCTTCAATATTTACTAACATAACGTAAACTGAATAATTTAAACCTTGAGTCCATCTGCACTATTTTGATTTAATAATTCTGGATTCTCAAGTACTTATTACTACATGGTTTTTAAATGAATACAATTAATTGCAAACACTAAAAGATAACAGATAGTTCTTGACTTAGTCTATTCATTCAGTGACAGGTCAAAGTTACAGCAGTATTTAAAAAGTGGATTTATGACTATTCTTTGAAATTCCAGCCATTGCAGTCATGTGATTGCACACTCAGATGCCTGGCTCACAATTACATCGCAGCGAGCCACATCATGTGATTGCCATTTGCAATCTTCCCTTCTGGCTTCCCACAAGCAAAATCAATGGGGAAACCAGCAGGGAAGGTTGCAAGTTGCCCTAGAAAGTTGCTCCCACAGCTTTTCCTCCCAAGGAGCCTGTTACAGAGTGCAAATTCTGAGGAATCTGTTACTTCATAGCACCCCTGTTCATCCACACTCCGTAGTGTGCCTGCAGCACCACCTCGCCCTCCTGAACCCTTCGATGACCCACCTAAGGTCACCCCAAGCAGCCTCCGCTGACCCACCTGAGGCCTCTGCCAGCTTCTGCTGACCTACCTATGTTCTCTAGGGCCTGCCTGCAGCACCTCCACCTCTCCCATGGCACCTGCACCTTCCCACTGCTTTTTTCCCACTCAATAACTCATACAACCTGGGGTTATGATAGGAACTGGGAGTGCCAGGATTGCTGTCATTAAGCAGTGCATCACATGATATTGTGCTTTATGACTGCATCACTCCCACTGCAACTATGGCAATCCCAGTCCAATTGTTGGTGTAACTCAAGGACTACATATAGTCGTGATGGCGAACTTGTGGCACACGGAGCCATTTGTGCCGGCATGCGAGCTGCTGGCAAACTTACCTACTGCGCCTCACAGCTGATTTTTGGCTGGTTTGAGGCCTTTTTCGGCCTCCCAGAGGCTTGAAAAAAGCCTCTGCAGGCCAAATAGGCCCACTGGCGCAGTGCAGGTAAGGGGACATGGGGGGC